TTTTTTTTTTTTTTTTTTTGTGTCAAAATGGAGGCCACCCAGTTCGGGGTTTTTTTTTTGTTTTGTTTTTTTACTCTCCCTTCCTCCAAACTGGTGGTAAACCACCACTGCAATTTGTTTACCAGAGAAATGACAGTCAGACAAACCGTGCGTTTAAGAAGCCAGTGTGAGATTTTCCCTGGTAATTTACTGGATACTTGACCGCATTTAGAGTCACATGTACTTGTCTTTTTGTTTCTGTTCTTAAAATACTTTTTTCTTCTAAGTGACCTCTAGTCTGTCACGTTCTCATATTGTTTAGCTTCATTAATGCTTCCCCCGTGTTGACAGGGAAAACAATGAGGTGGATGGTAAATCGATTTTTTTACTTTGTCTTATTGATTTCAAAAGTTTCTCACGATGTCATTCTCTCTTTTAGCTGTGGGCAGGAAGAGCCAACATACTCGGCTCTTTGGGGGGACAACAAGGCCTTCAATGAAGTCATCATTTCGCCCGCCATGCTTAATGAGCACATGCCTCTCATGGTGATGGAAGGTCTAAACAAGGTCTGTTTTCTTCATGTGCATGCTGATTCTTTTGTCTTCACTGACGTGGTGCTGGGATGTCATTCTTGTAATTATTAAACTGTTGCGTGAAGAGGGTGTTTGAATAATATCGACCTATTTAAAAAAACATTTTAGTTATATTTTTAATTACTAATGGGGTATACTAACTTCAAATTTTGAATGTACACAAAGACATAGCCTGATTTATTAACTCAAACTGAGAGCCTTCATTTAACATAATCATTGTTTTACCCCAGAAGTTCTCCATAGTTTAGAGGGCTAATTTCCATTTAATAAAGAATCAAAAAATACCTTGACATTAGAAGTTTGGGTCTTAAAATAAATAGAGAGATATATCATATATTGTAATTAATTTTTAATCTTAGAAATCGATTGTCCCAGCAATCAATTGATAGTAATCAGAAATGGACCATATCAAACAGGGGAAAAATGTTCATTGGTATGCCCCATAAGTGTTGTTACTGATTTGAATTGAATGTGTGGATTATCCATCTTTTTTAATCTTTCCTGTCATTTCATTTTATTCACATTGGTCTACTAGCAAAGCATGGGGAGCCTTCCATCTATTCTGGGTGGTTCTATGATGTCCTGTGGAAATTTGTTCTGGTGTAAGGGTGTTGAAGTTTATGTTTGCATGAGAAGAAACCACTTTGAGGATTGCCCTTCGCCATGCCTGTGGAAATAAATATGAGGTGATGGTTGGTTTGGGTGACGGTGCATCTGTCTAAAGATGTATACTCCTATTGAAGTGTCGCACTATGTGATTGTGTGCGGAACCTCTGGTGTGTCCACAGGTGCTGGAACCATGTTATCCTCTGTCTGAACAGTGGACTCTGGAAGTGGAGGTGCTTGAGGTCTTTCAGCCTACCAGTGGCACCATTGTGCAATAACCTCGAATACAGAATCCCACTCTAACAGTATTGCCCATGACATGTCCTTCCCCCGACCTATAAAGACCTGTTTCACAATACCTACCTTGCAGACACCGAATTGCTCTCTGTCAACCACCATCTTTTCGTCTCCATTTACGGAAGCTATTAATCCCTTTAACCCACAGTCAGCAACTCTTTCAGTTGCAGACAATTTCTGCATTCCACCACAAATCCAAACAGACGCACCTTACACCATCCTTCCCACTCCTTCTGATATCTTACCCAATGAGTCCCAAGAAAAAAACAGCTATCAAGATGGAAACATCACATAACTCCTGACAACAAGAGGAAGTCTGTAGTTTGGAAACTACATGGTGTTCAGTGTTGTTATTTGACAATGTTATGGCATATTAAGGATTTTCATTTAACCTGTGTATAGCAGTGGATGTCACCATACACAGAGCTGCACAAATTACTTTAACAATGCTCATCATTTTAATGAAACCATTTTCTCGTAACTCCGCCCCCACTAACACTGTGATATTCCTCACTGAGATCATGTTTCTTAGATTGAAGGATCAGGATCTTTCTGTGGGATATCCTGACTTGAAAAGCCTTCATTGTGGCTCTTTTGCACATACAAAGTTGTAGCTGGAGGCAATAACAAGTCCAGGCAAGATCCCGGGAGGAAGTTCAAAATCACAGCTGCATTCCAGAGAACAAATGACTCTTATATTGCTGTTACTGCAATGAGCCTGTAATACTACATCAAACTAATGTAGAAAGTAAAATTCACGAAATTGTAATTTATTTTTGTACCCATAGTGATCCAAAACCCACGTTCAGCATTTTGCTGCTGTCTGTGCCGCTGCATGTTTGGCTAGTGCTGTGACGTGAAACTCCCCCAATTCTTCCTGCCATTTCTTCCTGTTCACAAAGCTTCCGTGGCAATGCCTTTCACACCAACTGCATCTTCTTTCCTCGTCGCTTACTTTTTCCTCAAAACACATTTCTGCTTTCCTTCCAGGAAGCTAAAAATGTCCTGACATTTCAAAATTAGGAGTAACAAGGACATTTATCATTATTGTTTATGCTGCTGCTGCTGCTGCTGGGTCACTACATTATGCATTATTGTTCTTATTGAGAGAGTTGGAGTCATTTTTAAACAGAGGAAAGAAAGGAAGATTTCCTCATGCATATGTTTAAGAATCCTGTCATCATGTGCATCTAAATTATTGAAGCGCATATAGCTGAACCAATTTCAGATACTGCATGTCTTACACTGCATCAAGTTGTCATCTCAATGTTGTCAGTTTTCAAGCCGTTATTGTGCCTTTTTATATTTCTGACTGTTGTGTCACATACCTGTATATTGTCACTTGCAAGAGTCTTGCGTGAGCAAGCCATTGGCAACACCCTGTTGTGTAAAATGATTCTATTTATTTGCTAACATGCTCCTTGACTGATATTTGACCTCACTGAACAATTCCATTTCAAGCCTTTATTTACATTATTTTTCATTTTGTTTTCTTTTGTTCTCACATTTGCATGTCGAGTCTTTTTTTTTTTTTTTTTGGCATAATGTGCCTCTGGCATGTATTCGAGCTTATTAAAGCTAACCACAAATGTCAGTCTAATTGTCGTATTTATGTGATTGTCTATTTTTTTTGTAAGTTGTGTATACAGCAAATATATGGACTGCTATTTCCTCAAATACTGTAGGACTTGTGTGAATCTTCCTCTGGCATCCATGACTCCAGTGTGGGTGTTTAATGTCAGTCGGAGTAGGTGGAAGCTCACCTTTCGCTCGCACTTACATCTATCTTAACCACTATGTACTATCACGATAGATCTTTTACAGTATCTGCAGTTAAATATAGAAAGGATGTACAGTGTGTGCTATTTATCCAGTAAAATGTAAATCATACAACACTGATGCCACGTTTAGTATTAATTTATACTTTGTACAATCATCTCTCAGATGAGTGTGTACTTATTCCAGGCTTACTGTTTCCATGAGAACATACTGTATACATGAATAGTTCATTTTAACAATACTTGATCATTTTAATGAGTCTTGTTACATATCAACTGCAAAGATGAACAAAAATTTGTGATGCTACAGCTGATGTTTTTTGCACACTTTCATAATGTGCATACTTCATATTCATCGCCCCTTTTCTCTGACTTAAGTTGTTCATATTGAAGCTCAAGCTCTCACGCAGCAGAAGTTCTGCCGTGCTCTGAGTCACGCGCATACCTCTGTGTTTGCGACAGGTCCTGGAGAACTACAACAAAGGCAAAACGGCTTTGCTGTCTGCAGCCAAGATCATGGTCAGCCCGACAGAAGTGGACTTGAACCCTGAGAGTGTGTTCATGGCTGCATCTGCAACAGCCCAGCAGCCAATGACTGTAACTCACCACCGCAGGAACAGTAGTGTTCGGTCAGTATTGAGCACCACTTTGGATGTGTTGTGGTCTAAAATATTCAGTTTCCCCTGTAACCTGTTATAAGTAAACTAAAATAACTGTGGTATTCAAACTCATATTTTTACAAGGTGGCAGGTTAAGGCTAAATTGTTTCACAAAATAAAATTTAATTTTACAAATGGTTGCAAATTTACATGTTGAATCAGAATTTAAATCCTTTGTTTTGATGCTGAAAATTTCAGATTAAAACTTTTGAATTGTGGGGGGGAAAAGCAGGTCTCCTTTAAGTCAAGTCATCTCTTGATCATCTTTTAGTTGTTTGCCCAACTTTGTCGTTAAACTGTTTCCAATGCAATTGACAGAACATACAGTGGTACCTCTACTTACGAACATCTCTTCATATGAAATTGTCAAGTTAAGAAACGCCTCAACAGGAAAATATTGCCTTTTGTTACGAAAGAAATTTCAAGATACGAAAGGTAAAAATACAGTATGGCCCGCTACTCGAAGCTTCGAGATTCCTGAACGCAACATATTTATAGCTGCTCTGCCATTGGCTATTACCAAGCATCATCCTGGCATCCGATTGGCTTAGGAGGGACCTCCACCGAATGTGTCTGTGTGTGTAGATAGATAAATATGTGTCTATGCAGCGTACTCGTCATTCGCACCTCGGGCCATGAGGTATTTTACATAAATGTGAATCACCCAGAAAAAAGTGTCCACCAGTCGGGCGATCGCTCACTATGTTGATGTTTGCCTTCGACATTTTCGAAGGATTGTTAAAAAAGCAGTTATTTACAAAACGGCAGGCAGAAATCACTTCTGAGAGAAAACATGGACTAAAGAGGGCAAAAAACGATGAGGATGCAGTTAAATGACCATCAGTTTTATTCTTTACTCTCTTCATTGTTTTTTTACATTATGCACAACTCTCATTTATTGTGCAATAATCTAATTGTAACATGTATTTGTTACATATTTTGATGCATTTTTATGCTTTAGGAAACATTTATGTCTGAATTTTGGGGGACTTGGAACAAATTAGGGCATTTACATGGAAAATGCATCTTGACTTACAAAATTTTCTAGTTAAGAAATTTCTTCCAGAACAAATTAATTTCGCAAGTAGACGTACCACTGTAGTTGTGAAAGGCCTCACATCTGACAACATATGTGGGAGTAAAAATGGGAGCTACAAATATTTTTTTAAAACAAAGTGGCTTCTTTGTGTCCTCAAAAGTCAACAGACTTTTAAGAAAAACACACATCTGTTGCCATAACCCGGATTTTAAATAGTTTCTGTAAGCACCACGAAAAAATATACAGTAACTAAATTTCAAACCAGCATTCCAACTGCTACTAATTTCTGCTCTTGTTTTCTCAAACTTGTAATTCCTGTTTGTTTGGGTAACAAAAAAGACAAAAAACATTGCTACGGTAAGGAAAGCATGTGATCACTCACCCTACATAATGTGCACCATTCTCTCATGCACGCTTGCACACTGTCTGACCACAGTGCAGTGACCACGTACGGTAGTATTCAGTTCTCTCCACGCCCCACTCCGGTTCAGTCCCTGTCCAAAGTCTGTGTTCTGATAGAAGTAGTTGATGTTACCTTTCCTGCTTTAGAAGCACCCACCAGGATGCTGACCTTCCACTTTCCCGTCAGTGTTTCTCCCTGGTACTGATTTAATTTTAAGTATGCAAACACGTCATATGTACAAATGTATTGGGACAATTTACCATGACACGAACAGAAAGTGAAAATAGAAATATACATAAAAATGTTTCTTCCCTTGCCGCTACATACGCTTCCACTCTCCCGCACAAATTGTTGAAATGTCTCTAGGAGTTCCTGTTTATTCAGAAAAGCATGAGTGAGAACCTGGCTCACAACATGTCCTAATTCATCATGGTCACTCAAAGGGACTTTGTTGGAAGCATGGAAAGGTTCCAACTTCCTCAAGTACGCTGTAGCATTTGAAATTCGTGGTTAGTTGGGCTTGTCCCACCCCTACTTGACCAAGAGGTTTGTCCCAAGACCTTTGTCCATATTTTGGATGTTTTACACACAAACCATTGCCCATTTTCCCTTCTGTAAGCCCTCCCTAGTCGAGTTGAGATTTTATTCTTGCCAATCTCGCCATGTGAGTCCTGCTTCCCTGTCACTCCTGTCCTTTCTCGTCCTCTCCTCTAGTTCCTGTGCCCAGTCTGAAATATCTCTGGATGGTTTCTCCGAGTGTCCTCCTCCTCCAGTACCTGTAGTGTTACGCGGAGCACGGGAGCGCCTGACTGTGGAGCTTAGGGACCGCAAAGCTCCATTAGCTGTCATGGAAAGCCTGTCAGACGCTGAATCTGTCTACAGCCTGGATTCCAGGCGCTCCTCTGCTGCGCTTAGAGGTTCTCCAATGCTTAGTAGCCTACCCTTCCCTTTGGATGCACCGATTCCTGAAGAGAATCCATCTCTCAGCTCTCGCACTGAGCTGCTGGCTGCTGACTGCCTCTGCCAGGCCACACCAGAACACCTGGGTGAGATTGGGCCTTTCTTCACGCCATTGGACCCTGTATCTAATCCGGAGTACTCCGTGCAGCTTTCGCCCGCCACACCTCAATACAGTGGACATTATTCCCCTCAGCCTTTCAACGCAGAGCCTAACGTCTACTCTGAAATTGACCCTGATGTGCAACAGATTCCGGGCGTCTACAGTCCAGGTAGCACTCCCGACGCTCCCCGGAGTCCACAAATTGCTTCTAGAGCAATGGATGAAGATGAAGACAAGTGGGAGTTTAGCACGGAGACTGGACGGGAAACTTCCACCCAGCTGTCAAATGGAAACCCCAGCCGAACAGTGCTGGAATTTGCCCAGTACTTGGACTCTCTATTTAGACTAGATGGCAGCAGCTCACCTCCAATGGACCTGTCTGATGGGGAGTCGGAGTCAGGACGCGGCTCACTTGGCCACGTCGAGTGTATGGGAGATGAACCAGATGACAAGCAGCTTCTGGCCAGGGCAACACTGGAGCCGAACCTGGTCCCCAAGCCACCGCGCACTTTTGCCGGATCTGCTGACCCGTCTTCTGGCATCTCCTTGTCACCTTCCTTCCCCCTCTCATCATCTGAGGAACTCAATGACCTTTCACCTGGTGAGGGTGCCCCACCTCCCAATGACTCACTACGAACATCTCTCCCTATCCACTGTTCTGAGGAGAACACTCTATCCTCTATGGTGTAGTCCACTTCAAACAACTGTATACTCCAAATGAAGGACACAGTCATCCCAGATTTAAAAAAATAAAACAACAAAACAAAAGAAACATATCACAGTATGTGCATGCGATGGAATGTAGTCACTCATCAGAGACCTAAGAACAAACCTTGACTTGCCAACTCACAAATAATTTCCATTCTTCAGGTGTCCTCCCCCACTTTAATGACATTTTCGCACTATTGCAATGACTACAAAGAAGATACCTCTCTGCATGCCAGGGGGCTGTGCTGCTTTTGGGTGGAAATAAACAACTGTAGCTTCACCAATACCGTTCCAAAACAATGTCGTGATACATTTCAGCATATGTTCATCCCCTGACTTAACTCAAGGAAGGAGAGAGTCGTTAATTCAGCAGGGATTCAAAAGCTAACACTGTAGAAGAAGCTAATTTGCATTGGCACGTCATCTAGGGTTGACGTGCTCTACTACTTCCTGCACCCTCAGCAGCATATTTTCTTCCTGCTCTTTATTTGTCATTGTTCATTTCAGGAATGTGAAGATGGACGTTTATGTCAGTCAGTAGAAGTGTGAAGACGTGACACAATGTTCCTCAGGTCTATCTATACAGAGTTGGTGTCGAGGAAAAGATGGTGTGTGTGTTTGTGTGTGTGTGTGTGTGTGTGTGTGTGGGTGTGTGTGTGTGTGTGTGTGTGTGTGGGTGTGTGTGTGTGTGTGTGTGTGTGTGGGTGTGTGTGTGTGTGTGTGTGTGTGTGGGTGTGTGTGTGTGTGTGTGTGTGTGTGGGTGTGTGTGTGTGTGTGTGTGTGTGTGGGTGTGTGTGTGTGTGTGTGTGTGTGTGGGTGTGTGTGTGTGTGTGTGTGTGTGTGGGTGTGTGTGTGTGTGTGTGTGTGTGTGGGTGTGTGTGTGTGTGTGTGTGTGTGTGGGTGTGTGTGTGTGTGTGTGTGTGTGTGGGTGTGTGTGTGTGTGTGTGTGTGTGTGGGTGTGTGTGTGTGTGTGTGTGTGTGTGGGTGTGTGTGTGTGTGTGTGTGTGTGTGGGTGTGTGTGTGTGTGTGTGTGTGTGTGGGTGTGTGTGTGTGTGTGTGTGTGTGTGGGTGTGTGTGTGTGTGTGTGTGTGTGTGGGTGTGTGTGTGTGTGTGTGTGTGTGTGGGTGTGTGTGTGTGTGTGTGTGTGTGTGGGTGTGTGTGTGTGTGTGTGTGTGTGTGGGTGTGTGTGTGTGTGTGTGTGTGTGTGGGTGTGTGTGTGTGTGTGTGTGTGTGTGGGTGTGTGTGTGTGTGTGTGTGTGTGTGGGTGTGTGTGTGTGTGTGTGTGTGTGTGGGTGTGTGTGTGTGTGTGTGTGTGTGTGGGTGTGTGTGTGTGTGTGTGTGTGTGTGGGTGTGTGTGTGTGTGTGTGTGTGTGTGGGTGTGTGTGTGTGTGTGTGTGTGTGTGGGTGTGTGTGTGTGTGTGTGTGTGTGTGGGTGTGTGTGTGTGTGTGTGTGTGTGTGGGTGTGTGTGGTTGAAATTGAAATTGTGTCTTAAACATTTTGTGATTGTGACAAAGTTATTACAGACGCCTATGGATGTTTTTAAGCCTTTTGGTTACTCTTTATAGTGCATGATAGTTCTTTTGTCTTTCTTTTCAAAGAGATTTGGTTACTAAGTCAGTTAATTGACAATTGAGTACTCTTGTTCACATCATGTTTGCTTGGTACCCTCCTTGCCAGATAATTGAATACCTTGATATTGCCAAATCTATTTCTCAGATGTACTTTTGTATATGTTTACTGCTTTATTTGAACACAATGAGTTATGTTTATGACGTCCCACTCCTGTCATTCCCATGGAGACTGTTACACACACCACAGGATAGACACCACCTGACCACCATGGCTTTCATGTTACCACTGCGGATTTGTGTCAGCCTTCAGGCCGCAATAACCACCCAGCTCATAGTTTTCTTACTTTTCTAGAGACGCTACCGCTCTCGTGGTCAGATTCTTTGCAGTGGGGCTAGTTTCCGTGATACAAATGTTGCCACCATGTCAAAGAAATCCTTCTGTTTTTAAGACCAGTTTAATTCAAATGCAGGATTCCAGACATAACAAAACCATGCTTCTTCTAATTGTCCCAGGATGCATTTACTCTTGTTCTCAAGGTGCTCTCAGACATGATGGACATCAGGTGTTTGCTTCCCTTTAATCTGGTTCACCTCGCTCTTCCTCGAGGTTGGACTCCATGGATAAATGAGCTGGTGTCGATTCTACATGTGGCGTACAATTTACCATATCACCAAGGGTCTAACAGATGAACAGGCGGTTTACTATTTGCGTTATTTATTATGATAAATGGTTTCACTAGTATTGCTGTATTTGATGGTAATATCCTTATTGCTCTTGCAACAGATTGATGGTCGTGTCATTTTTTTTTAAACTTGAATTTTTTTTTGTCTTTTTTTAAAAGCACTTCCCAGAAGTTGTGCGTTCATCTTTTTTTCTGTCCAAGTGGAAAAGTATTTAACATTGGGCACATTACGAATGTTCCATTGTGGTGAGACATTCTGCAGAATGACCGTTGGTGGAGTGCCTGGCCTGGAGTCACCAACGTGATCTGCTCAGTTTCTGTTTGGACCAAGAGTTGTTACTCACAGCACATCTCACATCTTGCCAATTTACAGTCTGTCACTGCACAGATCATTTTGCCAGTCCCTCTTCTCTCTCACAAATACTCTTGGGTTATAAACCCATTCAATCATTACTCTTGCAACCAGTCCAAGCACTGATTTGGCCATGATGTGTACAGCACCATTCTCTGTGTGTATTATTTATGCAGATGTCTACTACTAATAATAATAATTCCAATAACCTAATAGAGAATAACTTTATAACAAAAAGAAGGTGTCTATTTAAGATATAAATATTGATATACAACGCAAGAAATATTTCATCTGAAAGTTATTTATTGGAACTATTGGAAAAATTTGCAAATTGTTCTTGTAAAGAAAGAGGAACATTTGCATATGTGTCGACTCCATGTTTATCTGGTTTGCTTATCTCCCCTCCTTATCCAAATGGGAATGTATGTGATCCCTTTCTGACTGAATTTGACCGTTACGGAATAAATGAAAAACCATGGTCATAAGTTTGGCTGTTTCTTTCATGCAGAATTATTTCCTCTATTTTAATACATGTTACACTACTCAACTCTGGGTACAGAAAAGTCAACTGCCTGTATCTCCGTGAGTGCTAAGTGTTTGCGCACGTGGCGATGTATTATTTATTTTTATTTTTACATTTTTGTCAGATTCGTGAAGGTTGCGAAGACATCCCCCAGATGTTAGCAAACAGTTGTCTTGGTCCCAAACTGAAGGAATAATTATGTATTTTCGTATTTTAGTTTCGCATTTGCATAATAATAGTGAATTGATAATGCTTGCAATGAAGAATGCTAATGCTCTTAATAAATGATAACGTGTATGCTCTTAATAAATATATGCTCATATTTATAATAAAGAATGCTTAGTGCACTGTGTGACAGGACACAACCACCTTTCCGAGAATGTGGTTGGAAAGAGAAAAGTTCTTTTTTTACATCTTTAACATGTTCAAAATTTGATGGTGACAAGAAAAGACTGTTTGTGAACTTTTTTGCAAAGCCTGATTAAAAAAATTTAATAAAATCATTTACACGCTCAAGCATTCGCTACTCAGTAAGATAATGGAAGCAGACGTTAACGGCTTTTTCAGTTCAGGCACCGAGTGGAGGTGACAAAAGTTCTAGTTAGAAAAAAAAAGACTAGACCTACTGATTTGACTCCCTTTCTTGTGTACACGTGGGAGAGTCTGTTCTTTTTTTCTACTTTACTAGTACAAATGTAAAAATTGAATTTGTATCCTCTTTTTTTTTTACAGTTTTGAACTCTCAACTCCAACCATGATTGACCTGTCGTGTTGTTAAAAACTTTTGCCAAAGTAGTATGACAGATCTACTTTCAAATGTAAGAAATTAAAATAAAACATGGGGAAAATAAATCCTGAAAATATTGATTCCTGAAGAATATTTATATACGTGACCGAAGTAGTTGTATTGCTTTACATGCTGAAATGAAACGATATACAGGTATGGTATTAGCTTTTATGGATTTTGATCCAGCAACCTCAAGCACCTTGGATTAGATAATTTTCTTTCAATGACTCCGTTTTGATACTGTACACTAATACCCGGCCGTTAAAACCACTGTATTGAGAACTCCGGAGCCATAGGCAGGGAAACAGGAATACAAAATGGAAGGCAATAAAGACTCCTAATGATTAAGAACATTTGTACGGAAGAGCTCCCGTACATTTGTACTCCCGAAATCGAACGCACAGTACAGCATTTGCAGAAATTACACAGCAAAATTGTGTAAAAGGTGCACGTTTGAGGGTGCAGCCACTAGAGGGAGGAAACGTCTGAATTACATTCCGCGATGCACAGAAAAGGGCGAATAACTTCCGGGTGTGACCGTGGGCTCCAGTGGTCGTGTTTTGCTAAATTAGCATGCTATCATGAATTAACGCCGAACTGTCAACACTGGATCTGGTAAACATCTTTGTAAGTAAAACACGCAACGACGCAATGGTCGACACTTAAACGGACAGCAGTAATACATTTCGATTGTTGGTAACGTTTCTTTAAGATGACTTTCGTGAGATAATGTAGCTAACTATGTTTGGTAGGTTAGCATTAAGATGTGTTATGTCTAAAATCTAAGTGAAAAGTGAAAGTGGTCACTTTGGTAGTATCTGTCTTGCCATACTAATGAATACGGTGTTTTTTGTTGCGCTATTATGTGCAAGGGTATACAGATTACAAGCAGGGGTGTTCATATCAGAGTTAGGGGTGACAAATTGTCCTGAAGTAAACTTGTTTTATTAAATGTGTATGACGTATGTAATAATGCGTGTATCTGCCGCGGATAGCGTTCCGAAAATTTGGGCACTCACCGTGGAACAGGTTTCCCTAGTTGTTGTGAAAGCGCTATCTAAATTTTTTGTTATTTTGACTTCAAAATGGCGCCGCGAGAGTGGCTGCCTTTCCAGCAGCTCCTATATTTTGTTGTTCTACTTCTTCCTTTCATAACTTTGCTGCTGTGAATTGGGAATTTCTCCATTGCGAGACTAATAAAGGTTTACTTATCTTATCTTATCTTATCTTAAATAAATAAATATGCATTGTTTGTATGTATGTATGCATGTATGTATGTATGTATGTATGTACAGTCGTGTATAGTTCGAATAACGACTTCGACGTTTCTCGAAAGAGCAGTACGCCATTTGTGGAAGATTACGTCACCAAAATCGGGAAAAACTGGCTTTACGTGTTGCGGCAAGTACAGGTAAACAATGGGTTGATGATATGTTGCTTGAAGCGAAACTAAAGTTCCAACGACTGCTGTCGCCGTCACTTTCGCCATTCACAAGTGCTTATACACGTTTTGCCAGATGCAGAATTACGTTGTGCACATACCCGATTGCACACAATTTGAAATTTAAATTGAAAATTTCCTTTTAATATTCTTTATCACCGTCCTCGATTAAACCTTTTTAGAGCCATTATGAGCCATATTTTGGTACGCTAACCGGCACTGGCCCTGTGTATTTGTGATATGATACAGTACGATAATATGAAGTTGCAATGATTATTTGATATTTAGAGTATTTATACTGTAGTATTTAAGCCTTTAAGAAAATATTACTTCTATGTAGTTACTTTTTTGTTTCTTTTTTACCCCACCAGTATAAAATCTAACTGAAAATTTGACATATTGTCTGGGCTTTACATCTTATGGATGCATTATATCAATCCATTCCTTATTTGAAAAAAATAATTACAATAATACATTTTCCAAACTCCAACAACATTTCTTTTAAAATCACATTCACGATATGTTTTCTATGAAAATGGTGAATGGGAGGGATGGTGCACTTCTGGAAAACAAACATTGAACAACAAAAACATTGAAAACTGTTGAGGAAAAAAAAAACAATCACAGAATATGCAAATCCATGGGTGCCGAACCTTACATACGACTGTAATTGTTTTAATGTTTGTAAAATTGTGTGTGGAGTGGTAAGAAATATGGGACAAATACAGAAATACTGTAAGACAATGCATACATGTGAATCATTTTACACTGAATATGTCACTATGTCATTACAGAGGCTAGGTAGGCAGGCAGGAGGCAGACATGTATGCCTCTGGTAAATACAGCTCCCGGGGACCTGCTCTAATCCCACGGATGAAAACCAAGCACCGTATATACTACATCACACTCTTTTCTGTGGTGTTGTTTGGCCTCATCGCCACTGGGATGTTTCAGTTCTGGCCTCACTCCATTGAGTCCACCGCTGATTGGACCGTAGACAAGCGCAGTGTTCATGATGCTCCCCTGATGCGCCTCCAAGTCTCGAGTCCCATCCCTGAAAGGGGAGACCTTAGCTGTCGCATGCACACCTGTTTTGATGTGTATCGGTGTGGCTACAACCCTAAGAACCGAATCAAGGTAATTACTCCTGTGCATCACTTCCACACCACATTCATATGTGTCAGTGTGTGTGTGTGTGTGTGTGTGTGTGTGTGTGTGTGTGTGTGTGTTTTTTTTGTTGAGATTTTATTTTTCTTTGTTTAGGTTTACATCTACCCCCTGCAGAGATTTGTTGATGAACTTGGGGTTCCCATCAGCAGCACTGGACTTTCGCGTGAATATAATGACCTTCTCAGCGCCATTTCGGACAGCGACTTTTACACTGATGATGTCAACAGGGCTTGTCTTTTTGTCCCATCAACTGATGTTCTGAATCAGAACTCCCTGCGAATCAGAGAGACTGCCCAGGCTCTGGCAATGCTACCTAGGTAAATGTCTCACTTGCAGTTGAATTCTTAAAAAAAAAAATAAAAAAAAAAAACTCTGAGTCAGAATCATCTTTACAAGACAACTTATGTTAAAACACTCAAGCAATGTGTCTCTGGTCGTTGGAACCACTATTACTATAGCAAACTAGCCACAAAATATACAGTACATTTAGGGCATCAACAAAAATCTGCAGGGTCATTAAGTTATAGTAAGTGTCCAGAAGTATGGCAATACATATTCACAGCTCAACTCTAATTTGTTCACAACGCACAAAATTAACCACAACGGTAACAAAGTGCTGTCTAGAAAAATTTAATAAAATAGAATAGAAAACCTTTATTGTCACTGAATCGTACAGATGCAGCAAAATTGAGGTTCTGAAAACATAAAAGACAACCAATAATAAAATAAATAGAATTACAAGCATATACTATATGAAGTGCCAGGGTGAGGATGTTGATGTCACTGAGCTTCTTGATCACCCTGACCGTAGATTCATGAAAGTCACGGCAGACTGCAGTGCCTCATTTGCTGGGTGCAGAGCAAGAAGGCCTCGGAGAGAAAGATGGAGAGAGAGCTTGAACTATCACCTGTTCTTTATTGAATGGTGAAATTGTCTCGGCAAGTGTATAAACCGTCCATGTTCTTTGTAGTACCAGTCACTGGTAAACATGTACAAATAAAAAGCTGAGTTGACTTAATGAATAGGTAGGTAATAGCAGCAAATAAAATGGAATGATTAAAGACTTGCTTGAAACTTAAGTATCCAAACCCCAGTTCCAAAGAAGTTGCGAGAGAATGTGGGACATCGGTTAAAATGTAAATAAAATAGAGTCAATCATTTGCAAATCCTTTTCAACTTATAAACAGTTGAATACACCGCTATGGCGATATATTGCATGTTCAAACTGACGAATGTATTTTTATTTTTTTGAAAATACAGTATTTGCTAATTTTTAAGTTTATGCCGACAATTCATTCTAATAAAACTGGGACAAGGCATGTTTACTCCAGTGTTACATCACTTTTCCTTTTAACAATAATCAGCATTTGGGAATTGAGGACGCTGTAGCTTTGTAGGTGGAATTCTTTCCCATTCTTCCTTGATGTACAACTTAAGTAGCTCAACAGTCTGGGGTGTCCGTTGTTGTATTTTGACATTTTCAATGGGAGACAGGTCTGGATGGCCAATGCTAATTGTTTACATTGGGTGAAGTTAGCCCTGTCCTCTCTTGTTTCGTACTCCACTGTGGGCTTGGTCAAAGAGAGAGCAACGCCAATGTCTTTGCCTTGTTGCTACAGTAACACAGGCATTTAATGTTTGATTATTTGCTTAAAACTCATTCACTCCCAAAGACGTTTTTAAACGTCTTTTCGGACTTGCTCCAGAATTGGCTAGTACTGAATGAGTTCAATCAATTAATTACAATCGTGTTTAATCCTGGCAATATGTAACTCTGTGCATCAAGTAGTTTTTTCGGTTTTGTTTGTTTTTTTAAGGTGGAACAAGGGGATGAATCATCTACTTTTTAACATGCTGCCAGGAGGCCCACCAGACTACAACACTGCTTTGGATGTGCCCAGAGACAGGTAGCTTCATCATGAACAATCTCTCTTAATTGTACAGTGTAGATAATATTGCCAGCAGCACTGGGGTGGGGCCTGACAAAATGGAAACAATAAATGTGTAACCCTTTACTTTAGCATTTTTCCCGAGAGAGGGGAAAGCACTACCCAGCAAAGTGCATGTCAGTAGCTGCAGCATAATTTCATTAGTGTCCTCAGATGATCTCCTACTATTATCAAGATATTGTGTTTAATAAAAGAGATCGTATCATGGACTGGATGGTAGGTGGCACAGCGCCAAAAAAAATGATTGATTGTATGGACGCTAAGCTTTTGGCTGGATCTCATACTCGAAGCAGAACACACATGTTAAAAGATGATTTCCAGAAGGCGAAGTATATATTTACTAATAGCTACAAATAGATATCCTCTACATTAAAGTGATGGTTGGTGGTTTAGTGTGAGCTGATGAACAATATCTTCAGATGTAAGGAATTTCCTGAGCTCATCCAAAGAGTCTATTTGGCATGAAACTTTATTCGAACCAGGTGTGGAAGAATTTCAGTGTTTTTGCCTCTGCCTTTTGAGTTGAACGGAATCCCCAAAATACTTCATCACTCAAATTTACACTTGACCATACACTGTATAAGGGGATTGTAACCAAAATATCAACCTTGCCTGCATGTATTTTTGTTGGTCTGTTTTGTTAAAATACTTTATTGACTAATTCACCTTTGTTTCAGAGCGCTCCTGGCTGGAGGCGGCTTCTCCACATGGACGTACAGACAAGGTTACGATGTCAGCATCCCAGTTTACAGCCCCCTCTCTGCTGATGTTGAGCTGCCCGAGAGACAGCCTGGGTGAGCTCATTGCAGCCATATACTGCGCCAGTGTGCGGTTATCTTAGTGAAGTTTACGTAGCGGTTTGGTGCATTTCAAAGATAACTGTCAAGCAGATAATTGGATGGAATAACTGCTGCAATAAAGCTTGACAGCAATGTACAAAGAGAGGAAAGTCTAATAATGCACAATGGTTTGGGTTATAATCGAAATTTGAGTAATGCATAACCCTGGACACCAGCATTCCGAGAACACAGGCATATATAGGGCTTAAACATTGGTTCATCTGTGACATTTTAATGAATAAACCTTGAGGTGAGGTTAAGTTTTAATCCAGATCCAATGTGGGTCAATTGTATGTTGTTAAGATAATGTGACAGAACTAAAGTATTTGTGCTAGATCATTTTCAATCTTAATCTTCCAGACCTCGCCGCTACTTCATCCTGTCATCTCAAACAGCCATTCACCGTGAGTACAGGGCTGAACTTGAACGCCTGAAGGAAGAAAATGGCGAAGCTCTGCTTCTTTTGGACAAGTGTAGCAATCTCTCCCACGGAGCTGCCTCTGCTCGAAAGCGCTGTTACAAGGGGCAAGTGTATGACTACCCGCAGATCCTGCAGGTAAGCACAGCTGCATACAAATACCTCTTTTTCAAGATAAAAGTTGTCACGGTGTCAATGAACTATATTCAATGCTTTTCCAATTTCTCTACAGGAATCCTCCTTTTGTGTGGTGCTGAGAGGTGCACGTTTGGGTCAGGCTGCTCTTAGTGATGTGCTCCAAGCCGGTTGTGTCCCCGTCATCCTTGCTGACTCCTACATTCTTCCTTTTTCTGAAGTTCTTGACTGGAAAAGGTCAGTGTTATTCAGACCAGCGTTCATTAAGCGTGAAAGAACTTATGTCGTCCGTTCTGTACTCACTTACGTTGTTTTGGTTATCTGGCACAGGGCATCGGTGGTTATCCCAGAAGAGAAGCTCTCGGAGATGTATACCATCTTGAAGAGTATTCCGCACAGACAAGTGGAGGAGATGCAGAGACAGGTAGCGGTTCAATTCTAATTACAAATATTGTAGCCAGACAGGCAGCATGCCGTACTTGTGATATGCACTTGCTTCAAAGAATGGAAGCAAACAACTGTGTGTTTGCCAAGGCATCTAAGCTGGGGCAAACCCAACATGACAACCTGCCTGGTTCAGCACAGTTACTTACAGGATCTAGACCACTGATGGTGACAGTTGCTACTCTGACTGTCACACCACTGTAATTATTGCCATGAGTTTGAAGCTGTTATTTAAAAAAAAAAAAGGCTGGCTTATGTTGTGTTAATGGCAAAACAGACATTCTGACTGACATTAGTACCACTTTTTTAAAATTTCCTTCTTCTTGTCTACGTTTTAAAATGGACAGCAGACATCCAATTTGATGTCTCCATTTATTTGGTGTATCCACCACAGTTAAAAGAGATTTGCTGCTCGTTAATTCCTTGTGTCAACTTTAATCTATTTACCAATTATTCAATTAAATAATGGTACTCCTTTTTACTATGGCATGTGTGTGATGACTGATGGGTGTCAAATAACGTCTAACCAGATCTGAAACAAGATTACACTGTCCAAAGCCCATGCTAACTGAGAAGAAACCCCAATAAACTGTGTACCACCAATCAAAGGCTTAAAAGCAACCAATTCTTTTTAACTGCATAACTGCAAACATCTGTGCTGACTTGCATAGTAACTACCATCTGAAGCTTCTGTTAAGTTTGATATGCTGGATTTAATATAAATGCGGCAAAGGACCTCAGTGTTCTCTAAAGTTTCTAAACAAAACCGTAAACAGTCAAAACTAATTCACCAATGCGAAGAAATTGATATGTTAGATTACATTTAGTGTTGTTTGGGTTGCAATTTATCAGTTTTACCAGCAGAGGGCTCACAAGGCTTTGGTTTGAAGCTGTTTTCATTTTTCCAAGTTATGTTGGAATTCGGACATAGTTTTCTTATTCAAATAGCTAAGTGTGTGTTTTGTATTCGTGGTGTTGACCAAATGTAACTTTCTCAGTGCTATTATAATATTAGGGCCCTTTTAAGGTCTAATTTGAGCATTTAAATTGTTTATATTTCATTCATATTGACCCAAATAATTTTCCTTTGACTGGATTGTCATCTTGTGGTGATTGATTGTCAGTCATAGTGAAGCTTTTGAATGTTCGTAATTTCTAAAGTCAACATTAAATATTTTGTTTACTTGATAGTCCAGAACTTTACTGTACTTTGGAAAAACAGTGATCAACATTTTGGCCCATTTTCCGACCTGTTTTGGAGCAAACCAGAAATTGAATCATAATTAATGGTTGTGCAATTTCTGCAGTGTCAATGTGAAATAGTATCCTTTTTTAAATTAAGAGATGGAAATTAAAACGTTTTTTTGTGGGTTTTTTTTTTATCTGATTAATCGATGATTTAATCGATCATTCAAATGATTATAATAAAGTTAAAACTCGAATGTATTTGTTTCTTTGCATCAGGGTAAATGGATAGATAATAGATGGATGGATAAAATCAAGAAGTCGATTGCAGGTCTCAACATGTTGAGTTGGAAAGAAAGAGAAGATGTGCATGTGTGTGTGAAAGCACAGGTAAAGGTAAAGTGTTAATTAATGTGTAGCACAACATTATTCCCAGTGAGCAGCTGACATGTGGTTCGGCTGCTGTTTTTGATTAAGTCCAAATCACTAATGATTGCCTGGTTCTCGCCACGGCTCACTCAGTGGTTCGCAGATCTGCTCTATAGGTGCAGCCATCTGTCACATACTTGACACGTAGACTTAAACAAAGACTTCTGTACTCCCAACTGTTTGTGCTCATGACTTTGACCTCTTCTCTAATGGTTTAAATGGTAAAAGAGAGTGGGCTCTTGAACTCAGTTCTTTTCTCTGGTATTAATTCTTTATTAACAATTTGCACATATTTACAGTGAGATTTTGTCGCTTTCGATATATATATATATATATATATATATATTTTTTTTTAATTGGGTTTCTTTATTGATCCTTTACTTTTTAGTGATGATTGATTTGTTTATCATTCAAGCTTTAAAAGGTTAAACAAGAATAAAGGTTTAGAGTTGCACATGGTTTGTGAAATGTTGCATTTGAAATGGGGGAACAAAAAGGGTCCTCTTCATTCCAGCTCATAAAAATTTGTGCAGTAATGGGGGAGCGGGAGGGCTGTGGGTCATTCCCTCAGGCCAGCACGGTTTCCTTACATCCTCCTCCTCCTCAGAAAAGAAAACTTTCATCACCTTCTGATTGATGAAGTGTTGAGATTTCCCAGGAGATTAGGAAAGTCTTTTTGGATTTTCCTCACCACTCTTTAAAAATAAAAGATGCATTTAATGTGTTATGAACTAACCTTACAGCAGGGGTGCCCAAACTTTTTGGACCGAAGATCTACTTTTCGGTCAACCAACCTCCCGCGATCAACCCGTACCGCGCACACGCATGCCATGAAGAGCAACAGACGCACGCGGAGGCATGCGACGCACTTTTGCAGCCTGTTAACTATCGTAGCTCACGCGTACCATTTTAAAATGCTTCTCTTGGCCCTCCAGATTGCCAGTCTTTGCCAGTGCCCTCGGTGAATTGTACACGAAACAAACTCTGAATGAGAATAATGATAACGATAAAAGATATTGGCAAACAGCTCTGACCACAAGCTGCAATTGCAGACTGCTGAGCGCTAACAACTTCCGGTGACGCAGGTCACGGGCCACCTTAGGTTAAAGATGATCTGCTACATTTTATTTTATTTTTTTCAATACTTTTTATGAAAGTGAGACTGATAGGATGATTAGGGTGCAGTGTGCATTAACATAAAAAATATATTACTAACATGCACAGAGACACACAAATGTTTTATTTTTTCTCCTCTACACCCATCGCGATCGACTTGGGACCAGTTCGCGAGCTACCGGTCGATCGCGATTGACGTAATGGGCACCCCTGCCTTACAGTTTAGCGAGTGATACAAACACTGGTTTGGGACCAGTAAAAATGTGTGATTGTGAACATTTATGTACAGCTCAGTAACATAACTGGGGGTGTGATTTTTTTGTGAAAACTGTCGAAACCCTTCTATTCAACTCTTTGCATAGTCATGCAAAGGTCCTCCAATTAATAAGATCACCTTTATTTGTCCCACACTGGAGAAATTTGCAGTCTAAATCATCACTTTGATGAAAAATCAATTCAAAACCCTTAAGCCCAACATTTTTTTCCTTCGTCTACAAAATACCATGCAAGAATTGTCTTTACCTCTTACCAATAAAAAAAACTGGAAAAAAATCTAACCGAATACATTTGAATGCGTAAATGAATGTATTTTGCCCCCCCCTCCCCCTTTGCTCAGAGAATCTTGATTTCCAAAGTACCAGAACCAGACAGACAAGTGTGGTGAGAGAGATTATTTATGTGTTTATTTACCGATCTATTTATTTATTTAAAATGTTCTTCTCTTTTCCAGACTTTCATACCATGTCTATGTATTGATAAAGAATAAAGAAAAATATATGTATGTATTTAATTGGAAGTCCACTTTGTCCAGTTTGTTGTGACAAGTAATGGGAAAGTGTCTTTTTTTTTTTTTTTTTTAGTATGGTAAAATATGAAGCCATCTGTTTCATTTGTTTGTAGGCACGCTGGTTCTGGGAAGCCTATTTCAGCTCCATGAAGGCCATCGGCCTGACGACGCTGCAGATCATTAATGACCGCATCTACCCATATGCTGCACAAACATACGAGCAGTGGAACAATCCAACTGTTGTGGTATGTAACTGTTAAGTCTTGACGTTTACGTGCACCATGATAAAAATGACCCACATTTTAAAATATTGAGGCAATGACTGTGGACTTTTTTTCTTTTAAAGGCAAATTTTCTGTGATATAACAAATATGACCACTACTTTATTAATTACAGAAATATTTCCACGCTGATTGTGAAGCAATATGTACAATTCAATTAAAAATGTAAAGGTCTATCAGTAACGCACATCTTGACTTTGCAGTATGTGCAAAGACGCTCCAAACCTGTGAATTGGTGGAGCATTTCATGTGCTCGGCCCCCAGCATGTCACCTCACTGATTTTCTGTTTTCTGTTCAAAAGATCTTTTCGAAGTGATGCCATTCTTTGTCAATTTCGATGGATGCTTTTCGGTGATGGTCAGGCCGAAAGCCTAAATGTCTTTTCAGGTTTCTTACGGATACTTAATGTGTTAGTGCCCACCACTGTGATGTTTGAAGACTTTGGAGACTTAATTACTCCATTGTGAGTTGTGACTCAAGCGGTTTCAGAAAAATTGCCCCAACATGACACTACTGTCACCATGCGTCTCTTTGCATATGGTCTAGTTTGTTGTAATGTGCAGTGACTGAATAGAAGTTCAAACTCAGTCTCATCTCACCATAACACACACACTTTTGAAAGAGTGTCTCTGGCTTTGGGAAAAAATTGCAGTGCTTTGATTTTATTATTGTAGAATGGAGAATAGAGATCATCGTCACATGTGGTAAACAACTAGTGCTTGCCAAAAAGATTCTGCAATGACTTTAATGTTGCCGTAGGCCTCTTGGCAGCCACTCCGATCGGTTTTTGGCTTGTCTTTTCATCAGTTTAGAGAACTTAACTTCTCGCCCATGTCACTATTGTGCCATGTTTATCTTCCATTTGTTTGTGGTGGTCTTGCTTCACTTTGAAACGTGACTTGAAGTCTTTACGCCTTCATGCGTCCCAGGGACATTTTGTGCCATTCAGTTTTTTTATTTTGATTTCATTTTGTTTTTCGAATAAAAACATTGCTTCTCAGATTTTTAGACCACTAAAAACGGCAAAAGCTTAATGTGAACTCTTTCACTTTCAGTCCGCTCTTAAAGCATTCATACCATTTTGATCAGGAAGGAAGAGTTTCAAACTGAATTCGCCCTATTCTACTTAAACGTGATCCGGCTCACCAGGCTCTATCAGAAGTCAGAAATTAATCAAGCACAACATTCATCAACTAAAAATATGTTTTTATGTTCTGGAATTTGAGCAAATAACATCTGAATAATAATGTGCTTTAAAATTTTGTCGTTTTGTTCGAAACAGTACATTTAAACACTTATGTAAAATAAGAATTATTATTCGAGCACTCTAAACATTTCAGTGAAAGGGCTTCTCCACATTAATGTATTAGCATTGACAGAAACATAAAAATATAAATGTTTACAATTTCGGGCAGCAGCAGGTGAATTACCAAGTTCATTTTTTGACCAAATGAAACACCAAGATCCTGAGAGCCTCTATTTCCATCCATCCATTTCAAGTGCTTTCCACACATTTTATTCTACCTCAAAACATAAAAAAAAGGAAGGATTGATGGATTATTCCTTTATAGAACTCGAGAAATCAATATTAGGCTGTTAGAAAATAGCTATGCATTTTTCCATAAAAATATATATTGTATATAAACTGAAATATGCAACTCCACTATAGTATTTAAATGTATGACCACCGTTTATTTATTTGTATTTCGGACATGCACAAAAAAAAAAAAAAAAGAGTACAGTATAATTGTAACTTGTGAAGGGAAAAACCATCAGAAAAGAAAAAAGAAAAAAAAATAGCAAAACAGATCATCAATACAACATAGGTAATATCCTACCTGCTTACAGATCAAGATAATTTACAACATGAGAGCTCCCTGATTCAGTGGACTGCGTAACACCTAATACACTGTGCATATGGCATTGTGTTTTATGGAGCACCACACAAGCAGTGTTCGATCTCCACCAAACGGGCTCAGCAGTAGTCCGAAATGAGGCGGATGCCTCCATTGCGGTGGGAGAAAAAGTTCTTGCATGTCTGAGCTGATCTGTTTGTGAATGATAGGATGGTTGTTACTGTTTATCATTCATGTGGTTGTGAAAGTTTGTGGCTACGCACAGCTTGGCAATGCAGCCACATCTTTGGAGCCGCTACTCAGCCCCGGTCTCTCTTGTCTTAAATCAGTGGGGAGGGGTGATTGTAAGAGTGTCTCTCCGTTTGTCTATGAGCGCTCTGAACCAAGTCTGGCAGGTGTACAGGAATAGGACTGTGCCGTTGTACAGAATTATTAATTGTTCAGTCGAGAAGTGCTCTGCCTTTGCGCGACGTTTGCGCTTTGTTTTCCCCTTCATTCAGGTTTGTTCTGACCGAGAGATGAATTGGCGCACGGTAAAGATTTTTGGAGGTGAAGTTTTTTAGGGATCAGTTCAATGAATGAACGGCATGAAGAACTTGAACAAAACACAAAATAAATCAGTCAGAGAACCTCCCCACCTCCCCTCCGAACCCCTCACCTCATGTAGTCTTTTAGGCTGGTAATTGAAAGCACATTTTCCAGAATTGCTGGTGCTGTTACACTGGGGTTTCAGAATGGAGGACAGGCTGCTTTTTGTTTAGGACTTGTGAGTAAAGGGTTTACTTTTAAGGTTGAGGCCTCTCAGCCTTTAAGATGTTTTGGTCTATACAACTGTGTTTTGGCTATCAATTAAGCTGCGGAGTAAATTGAGACTTTTGCCGCATCGATAAGCATCTTAAAAGTAAGGAGTGCACATGTTGCTTTTTCTGTTGATGCTTCATATTAAAGTTTTAAAAATGAATCTGCCCAGTACTGATTTGTACATGAATGCTAAAGTCAACAAAAACAATTTTAAAAAAAACAATCACTGTCATAATAGTTACTGACACTGCACCACATGTTTAATCCTTTTGTTCGAATCTTCTTAGTTTTCGAGCATAAGAGCCTACTTTATGTTTGTGTAGGGAACACTGCTTGTTGCTTCTTATCATTGGCATGCCGTTCTCCCTCTTAGAATGTGTTTCAGACATCGTTAATTTGCAAATAATAAATTCGTGTCTGTGCATTTTGCGTAATGTGAAGATCAGTTTCCAAAAATCAGAAACGTATAATGAAAGAAAGACTATTCGGCTCTTTGATCTGTCAGAAGTTATTAATCTACAGATGTCTTTTAATCCAATTGATTTAGTTTGACAAATGACTGAAGTGGTTTCTGTATTTGAATATGCGTGTTATATGAGTTACTTTAATGACTTCCCTATCTACTTGTTTGACAATGTGTGAACTTTCACAGGGAAATTTCCACTTGCCAGTAAAGGACATTTTTACTGGTGCATTAGTAACGGATGTTGTATAAGAAGCTGTAGCTGACTTGGGCTTATGTTGTGGAAGGTGCCACATTATCGTACAGTCACGCTTTATATGGACTTCAAAAATACCACAGATGTATGGCCCTTTTTCAACAGCTTTTCACTGCAACATTTTTGTCATCGCAACAGCCAGGGCGCTTGTTTATATGTTCTAGTAAGGCCTGCCTGCATGTGGAATATTATTTCAGTTCATTTGTATTGTCGGACTTTGTTACTTTCCATGTCAAAATAATGTTTGATAATGATCTGTTTTTGGTACATCGGATCAGAAAGCTGACCTGATTGATGGGTTCAATGAAAGTCCCACATTTTATAGGTCATTTTAATGGGGACTAATGAAAGAGGAGTACAACTTTGAAGATAGTCAGGCAGTTGTTAACACCAACTCGCACCACTTGCTTTCCAGATTTGAACCTCCTCACATTTCTTGAATCCGTTCTCTCATGGTTCTCGAACCCATCGTTTGAGCACCACGAGGCCCGTTGATATTTGAGAGGAGACAGTCAGCCTTGCTTCTGTAAGGTTTCTGTGATGGACTGAGTCAACGTGCTTTGCCCAGTCAATTAGTCCTCATGAGACACACTACTGAATGATTGTTGCGTACTCATAAAATACATCATTTGAAAACGATTGCGCTTGACGTCACCATTTTGTGGAGGGAGTCTTAAAGCGCCGTACATCATAGGAAAACATCCACGTGTTACACTGAAGAAACTTGTCCTGCCAAATACTTTTAAGAAAGTGTAAAATTGTGTTGTTTGTATGTGTCTTTGCCTTCTGTCGTCTGTAGAAGTGGTCCAGTGTGAACAGTCCCCTCTTCTTGCCACTTATTCCACCAAGAGCGCCCGGGTTCACAGCAGTGGTGCTGACCTACGATCGAGTCGACAGTCTTTTCCGAGTCATCACAGAAATTTCCAAAGTTCCTAGCTTGGCTAAGTTGCTGGTGGTGTGGAATAACCAGAACAAGAGTCCTCCTGAGGGTGAGTATACCCATTCACTCATCAACATGACGAGCTCCCCCTACGTCATGTTAGGTGCACTACGGTAAAACGTGTGTGAATCGGAAAACGGCTCGCCACTTCTCCATTGCAGCTCGAGTTGCAAGCATTTCATCGAGTTTTATGAGGACGCCTAATGTAACGTTTTAGAGCATCCAGGTCAGAAACAGACTGTTTGTTGTCTTTTGGCACATTGCGGGAAGCTTATGTTTTCTTGCACCTCTAATGATTTTTGTTTGTTGACGGAGCAATGCAAATAGTAAACCACTGTTAACCTGTCTCACTCTGCCATTGGCACCCGAGTTGACGAAAATAATGAAGTAGTGGCGGGGCTTTGAAGTGCTTTCTCCTGGCCGTGTGTTTCCTTTTGATCAGAGGCGTCAGCGGCGCCTGGCTGGAGTGGCGTGACCCATTAGAATTAACGAGGGGCCATTGACAGGTCAGACTCTCAGGTCTAAGTCAAGTGCATAGGAAGTTGAATGGCTCGAGGGTCGTAATTACTTAACGTTGAACTGTTATTTCGAATTCCTCTGGTATTTTGTGTAAGATAGATAGGCCTCCTATTCCATTATTAATATTTTCATTATTTAGGTCAAACATGTATTGACAATCAAGGATAGGACCTGGTAATTTTTTGTTTGTTTTTTAGCATACTTACTTCCCTCTTGTAAGCTTTTTTTCTCTTGATTCACACCAAGCTTCACAGGCTGTTGTCTTTTTATCGCTTCCAATATCTTAATCGCTAATGTATACATGCAGTCACTTGAAAAAGGCAACACGGCAAAGGATTTCATTTGATTTGGAGTTGAGAAAGTCAGTCACTGAAATTTGATCAGATTTTTAAGTTTACCAATATCCATGCCGACTGAATGGATCGACAAGGCTGAACTCAACTAATAGCCCACAGTTTTCCTGCTGTCGCCTGCCAGTCTAGAAATAAAGGACGGAAAGACAACAGTTGAGCTGAAAGAGAAAAATGGTTTCCTAACATACCTGAATATCTCTCCAATAGTTTTTGACAGGTCATCTGACATTGTTTGGCCACAGTAGAGCTCTTCTCACAGTCTGCAAATGCTCATTAACACAATTAATGAGGGGGGACACTGTGTGTCTAATCAGTGTGTGTTGTCATCCTTGCCACGGTTCCTTCCCAAGATCTTTAAAAAACATGTTGGACATTTGCCTCTTGTATAATTACAACTGCAAGAGTTTGCACGTGCACTAACCTAACACAGTGATGTTATATTTCCATTGCCAGCACAACCTGTCAGTGGTAAATTTCATCATATGTCCTTCACAGGCGTGTTCAATTTGTAAATACAACTCGAAGTGGTGAAATGCTGTTATACACGCTTAATATACTGCAAGCAAGTCTCTAACCCCTTGAAAAATGTTGTGCAAGCACTTAAGTGGCAGCTAACATGATGTTTGCCATGCCCTTGGTCATTTTGTTTCTGTTATGGTCTTCAACTATGACCATTTTGATTCAGTTATACAGTATTACAATCTTAATCAGTCAACACATACCGTAAATTCCGGGCTACAGACCGCATCTGATTAAGAGCCGCATGCTCAGATTTATGAAGAAAAATCTATTTTGTAATTAAATGCGCCGCTGGCCAATGAGTAGGCGGGGGTTTGCTTCTGCGTCCCTGCCGCCTGGAGCGCCTCCGGGTGAGGCCGCGGATGCGGTCCCCCGCTGAACCCCCGCAGAAAAAAAACGCAAACATTTCTTAAGGTTAAAATAATCTCCATATTTTTATGAGCATGATAAATGCATTTGCACAACGAAATTTCGCTGAAACACATAAGAGGCCAGACAAAGAGAGATCTTGATGCGCATTTGCGTAATTACGAGGAGAAATACTGCAGCCCACTAGGCTTTAAATAGAATAATGCAAATCATATAAATGGGAAAAGATATATGAAATTATTTCTGTAGTCAGCCGCTTAAAAATGATCATCGGTGGCAGCTTTAGGCCCGATGCTGCGCAACTCAAAACACAGGTAAAATGTGTTCTCTCGTGGCCGCTTGTTTTCAATATGACGGAGGAGTCACCTTTTTTATTTACAGTCCGAGTGAGAGGCAAATCAAATGTGCATGGGTCTTTTTGGTTGTCTTTTTACACTGGCTCAGTTCTTCTTGCCGGAGCCTCCACCTTCGCACCATCGACTCGTCTATGGCAAGATTACGGACACCAGCTCGATTTCCTTCTTTAACTGCCAGAGTGATCGCTTTTAGTTTGAAAGCTGCATCATATGCTTTTCGTCTGGTATTTTCCATGTTGATCAGGGTTAGAAGAAAGACTGAAATAAGGAAGTTGTGATTACCGGTAATCATACAATTTCATTGGACCCATGTGTACTACTCATTCATTTTATTGGTCGACTGTTGCCAGGTAACACATTTTCCCCGCTACGGCGAGAAGAGCGGAAGTTGTGATTAGTCATACAATCTCATTGGACCTCAGTGAACTACTCATTCATTTTATTGGTCCATGTTTTTCCCGCGATGGAAAAAAAATAATTAAAAAGCTGCTTCATATTACACGCCGCAGTGTTGAAAGTGTGGAAAAAAAGTAGCGGCTTGAAATCCGGAATTTACGGTATATTGGATTTTAAAAAATTGCATTTATTCAATGACCAAAGCTCAACTTTAAAGTATAATTTAAAATAACCAGAAATAAATGAGAACAAAATGATATATTAAAATAGTAGCAATTAAAAAAAGAATATACTGTATAAAAATAAAAACCTGCTGTTTACACTTTGGCCTCTCAAGGCCAGTGGGCTGCACTATTGTAGATTCACTCGGTATATAAAACACCAACAAATGTTAACTCTTTTGTTAAGCGCTTTGTTACAGCTGCCGCTGTTGTGAAAGCGCGATATAAATCAGCATGTATTGTATTGTAGCAACGCTCATCTGTCTTTTAACATCAAAGTTTGTTCAGTGTTGCGTGTAACTCAGAACTGTGATGTTTGTGCTAAATGTCAAGGGTCGAGGTTGGTCCACTATTGTCGTAAACCTCTAAAGTTTGGGTCATCTTTGTGTTAACAGACACACTATTCTCTTCAGTAAAATCTATTTTATTTGTTTAATTTTGTTGCCAAATTATTGCTTTGCTTTTCTGTTGTCAGAATCTCTTTGGCCTAAAGTTGGTGTGCCTCTCAAAGTTGTGCGCACCAAAGAGAACAAGCTGAGTAACCGCTTTTTCCCCTACGACGAGATCGAGACTGAAGCTGTGTTGGCCATTGATGATGACATCATCATGTTGACATCTGATGAACTGCAGTTTGGCTATGAGGTGAGCAAGTTTGAAACAACCTGAACTAAAAGATTCCCGTTTCTTCTGATGCTCTGGTCAGGGCCAGGAATCATTTCCTCGTGATCACAAGCCGTAAGGTTTTTTTTTTTTTTAAGATTAGTGTCCCATCAGAAGGTTTTGACTGCGTGCTGTTCACGTTTGATGAGTGAGGAATGATGATGGGCTCAGAGCCTACAAATGTCCCTGCCCTCACCTGACTGCACTTAGAAGCAATTTAATAAAATTGTTGCCAGTTTAAGGAGAATTACACAGAATTACAAGCAGCACAGTAGAAGAGTTGACACTCACGGCCTATGGGCTTCAAGCTGAATATTTTCGTGAATTATAAAGCCACTCTTCTGAAATGTTGCCACACTTTTGTTCAGCCTCCCTTGCCAGTTTTCCATGCCCTCGCCCTTTTTCTTTCCCTTTCCGAACCGGGGTCAAATGTTTTCCACTAAGCAGTACAATTTTGTTTAGCTTGCCACAATAAAGTTTGGAACAGTCAACCTTGATCTGTTTAGATTTCTATGTTTATACTATTGTCTGTCTAATCAGTACAACAAATTAAAAAAAAAAAAAAAAAGAAACAAACAAAACAAAGCAAAAAAAACCTGATTGTGTAGGCATGTGTGTAGAAACAAGATGGCAGAGTGCCGGCAAAACTGCAAACACAAATAGCTTTGAATTGTTCTTTGTTGTTGTACAGTTAACTTCTAAGGCTGGGGTACGCAAAAGCCGGCCACGTATTTGAAGCTGTCAAGCTCCGATGGCCTTTTCCAAGGTCAGATGAGATCAGGCATTCTCAAAGGAGTATTATGGCCATAAGCCACACTTCACTTCAACCAGTACATTTATTGTGTGTGTGAGGCTGGCAGCCATGAGGTGAGCGCCTGCCCCGTGACCAGAATTGAAAAATATTTTTTGTGACTTGGTGTTTTGGGTGGGTCAGTTTCATGTAGACTGGGACTTGTCTCAATGCCAGCAATACACAGACAGTCTATACAAGAGGCCCAAAGTCATTCACTGTTTGGGAAAACACAAACCCAATTCCAATGAAGTTGGGATGTTGTTTTCAACCATGATTTAATTGTTTACACGACAAAGACAAGATATTTCATGTTCAAACTTATACACTTTTTTTGGGGCTGCAACACATTCCAAAAAGGTGGGACAGGGGGCAAAAATGACTGAGAAAGTTGAGGAATGCTCATCAAATGCCAGTTTAGAACAGGCTAACTGGGAACACAGTTGGTGCCATGATTGCGGATACAAGGAGCTTCCCTGAATTGTTGAGTCATTCACAAGCAAAGCCGGGGGTGAGGTTCACCTCTTTGCGAGCAACTGCGTGAGAAAATAGTCGAACAATTTCAGGACAAAGGATTCAAAGAAAGCATCGGTCATAGTGGCATTATTATTATTATTATTTTTTTTTTATTTACTATTTTAGATTCGACTCAACACTGAATGAATATTTTTGTCCGAATACTCATACCTCTATCTTTTGTCTTTTCTATCCTGACACCTTCTACAGGTATGGAGGGAGTTCCCTGACAGGCTTGTGGGTTACCCAGGGCGACTGCACCTGTGGGACCATGAAATGGGAAAGTGGAAGTACGAATCGGAGTGGACCAACGAAGTCTCCATGGTTCTAACGGGCGCTGCTTTTTACCATAAGGTGACCCAGTAGTTTTTACTTTCACAAAGGCTTCCTTCTGAGCAGGTCAAGCTTTTGTTTTAGCATCATGATAAAAATAATAATAATAAAAATGATGATGATGATAATTCAGATGTAATGTGTTTTGGGGAGGATGTTTTTCATTATAAATGAAGATCAGATGACATTTGGTTAGAGTGGGGGAGCAGTTTCCTGTAGACCGCTGTGTGTGGACTATTAAGGTTAGACGGCAAGATTACATTGATGGATGAGCAGAACGTTGCAGGCTGGGCAAGGTTATCACACCTCCTGTCAGCTCACACACACACGCTGAGGTTCGAAGCCAATTCTACCACACCACCCCCTCCTACATACTCTAGGGTCATCCACTGACTGCTTTATTCTTCTTAATCAACATTTTCATGTGACTCTTTTTGTTGCAGTACTTCAACTACTTGTACACATACAAGATGCCTGGAGATATCAAGAACTGGGTCGATGCACACATGAACTGTGAAGATATCGCCATGAACTTTCTCGTGGCCAACATTACTGGCAAAGCCCCCATAAAGGTACGTTCATGTCATCGGTTGGTTTGGGGGCTCTTACTTTGTAGAAAAGGGGGTGGGGGTGGGGGTGGGAGTGAAGACAGACAGAGCAGACCAACATCTCTGGGTCCTATCAGTTGTCACCCTGACACTTCACTGCATGGCCCCCCTCATCCAGGTTTCGGGACCTAAGCCCAAGTCCTGCCTTAACCTCCTTTATCGGGGTCGGTGGGGGCCTTGTAGACTCCCCCTCGAAGCTTACGGAAACACTCACACGCTGCCACCACATCACAATCCGCACACACCCTTTTGCTTTCACCCCATCGCACCATATCTCACACGGTTCTTTCAGAAAAGTCTTTCACTTCACTGTCTTTCCTCCGCCAAACACACGCATCCACTGGTCGACTATTGGACGCAGCCAAGTCATACATCATCACTCTGCACAGGCAACGTTCTCCCCACTGCACATGCAGTCCTGTTGGAAGTGGCAGGCTTATTTCAACAGGCAGGACCGTTTATTAGCTTGAAACTCGACTTGACATTTGGGGGTGTGATTTTGTTTAGGTGACCCCCAGAAAGAAGTTCAAGTGTCCTGAGTGCACCGCCATCGATGGGCTGTCCCTGGATCAGACGCACATGGTGGAGAGGTAATGCAATTAGCCGACGCAGAATTCTATGTTTATTAGTTTGATTGTAGACTTCTGATTTGTCACTTTTATCAGTACCCAGAACGGTGGACCTTGACCCATGTTTTTATATGGACACAACTCAGAGCACAATGACTCCCGCAAAATTGCAAATATGCATTAGCCAATTCACTTATTAGCTTTTTAATTTTTTTTTTGAGGTGGGGGGGCACCAATACTCGTTATTTGTAAAAATACCCCTTCGATGTTTTTTCTGCTCAGGCCAAAGCTGGACCCAAGTAACAATGTTACTTTGGTGACATGTGGCTAAGGAGCCATGTTAAAGTGAATTGAGGAGCTTCATTTAGACAAAAGTAGTGCTTTGTCGCCATACTGTGGCTTATCGCTGCCAAGAAACTGTATTGAAGTGAGGTGAAAATTTTACTTAGACCAAGTTAGCGTTTTGCCACAATTTTGTGGCAACTATAGGTACTTAAAAAGCTACCTTACGGAGTGTCTGTATTTGGTTTCACAAAAGTCCTGAAAAATCATGGGTCACATTGCCCAACCAGGTAGATAATTGCAATCTATGTTTGGCAAAACGTCACATCCACCAACTGGTGGCTCTCATGGCACGCGGACACTAGCCGACAAGTCTCATGTTAGCTGAAAGCTCACGACTTGAGTCTCATCTTGACTGCTGCTAGTTTTGATAGATTCATGTCAGCAGCGACAAACAAGGACAGCCGCACAGAGTGAAGCCTGATTGGCAAATTATTATGTCCATTAATGCGCTGAATTGTGTGCTAATGTCATTTTCATCTATCATAAAACACCAAATTTCATCACACTGCATTGTGTTGCATTGTCAGTGTCATAACTATACCTTTGGAAGACGCCAAATTGCCACGGCTCAGTGAATTGTAGCTTATGATGAGTAATGTTTTTAATCAGTTCTTTTTATTTTGGTCCTTGAAAGTTTTCACATGAAAATGAAAGGAAGAAAAAAACCCGCAATTTTCATTTTACATTTATTGAACAGTCTGTTGTCCCTTTTCTCCGCATGGCCGCCCTCTCTCACAAGTTTTTTTTACCTCTTCCGACTTCCTTTGCACATGTAAAATGTTCTAAATAACTTTTTTTTTCTTCATTTAAGGTTTTTTTTGTACTTCCCTTTCACTTCCTACCAAAATTCTGTTCTCTGTTTATATGTTCAACAAACAAACCAATCACTATTTTGTCCAACATTTTTGTTTTCCAACTGGATATTCCCGCTCCTGTCTGCTCATGTGAACTTTTTATCCTGTACCGTCCCAATCCCATGATGAAGGTAAAGTTCATGCCCATCCCATGGGAATCGCATGGGATTCCCCCAAAAATGTCAGCCTCTAAAAACGTCTACCTCTATTGCTGTACATGCATGTTCGGTTAACTGAAGACTTTAAATTGTCCACAGTGTAATAAGTTGTTGATTTCTTTGTTCATGGCGATTGGCGATGGACCAGTCCAGGGTGTGCCGAGCCTCCTGCCCAAAGTTAGCTGCGATAAACTTAACTCAACCGGGTCCCAAATGAGGAAGGTATAGAAAATAGATGGATGATGTCACATTATCATGAGGCGTCCCTCCATAAACCAGATATTAGAAACAGCTCTCAGGATGGTGCAGTGTAGTTCTGCAACATTGCAAACTGTAACCGCAGTATTAAATATGTTGTTAAATTAATAGCTCTCTGACAATGTCTGTTGAAACCGAGCGGTATTGTTGTTTTTTTTTTAATCAATTTGACATTCTGACATACCAAAGCATCACACCAATTCTCAGCTAAATCCGTTCACATCAAGTTCATCTTTGAGGAAACATGCCAAGTTTTTCACCCATTGAATTGTTTCTTTCAACTTGACATTCACCTCCACACTTGAACCCAAATTGCTTCTGTTTTCCTCGCTAGATCGGAGTGCATCAACAAATTTGCGTCGGTTTTTGGCACCATGCCTCTGAAAGTGGTGGAGCACCGGGCCGACCCGGTTCTCTACAAAGACGACTTCCCAGAGAAACTCAAGAGCTTCCCCAACATCGGCAGCCTCTGACCAGCGTGTCGTTCATATTTGGAGCTCATCACAGCTTTAGAAGAGACACACTTGACTTTTCTGACATCATGTCTTCATTTGTACGTTGGTTTTATGTTCCCGTCAGTGATTTTGCATTTAATTTAAATTCTTTTTTTTTTTTTACACCTAATGTTAATCATGACTGATCTGGGGTCCTCACTGATATTATTATGGGATCAATGCATGTGTACATATATGCATGTAAAGAATGATTAGTAGTGCTAATTTATTATTCCATAGTTAATGTCTTCAAACAATTTGGTGGACTGTACTGGGCAAATGAAGTGGAAAAAGTCATTCTTGCCAAATCGACTGTATAGTTGATGCTTCTATGTTAGCTTCATACAAACAAGACAAGATGTTCCCTGACTTAAAAAGGTGCTCTCAAAAATCTAATATTTAGATTTTCTGTTGGTCACAGAGTTGTTGTCGAGCTACTGGATTGTTTTCTGTGTATGTGATGGAAAATTGCTTGTGTATTTGACACATTTTACAGATCAATATACAGTGATTCCTCATTTGTCGCGGGGTTTACGTTCCAAAAATGACCTACAATAGGCACAAATCCACGATGTAGAGGTTCACTGTTTATGGAAGGGGCATTACGCTTCTGTTAAGGCTTTCAAGATGAGGCTTCTCCAAAGTTTTTGTGATGAGCTGATCACCTGAATTGGGTGCATTCTTGAGGACTTGGGCCCCCCTGCCTTAGAACATAAGCTGCGTTTGGAAATTAATGTGCGGGCAGGACACTAAGTAGTGCATGTGCGTCAGATTGAATTTCTGAGTGAACCCTTAATGTTCATGTTTTCTTGGTTTTTGTAAAACAAATTTGCCTTCCCAAAACCTTTTTTTTGTTTTTTTTGACTGATCCGACTTAGTCGGAAGAATAATAGCAAGACACCCTGCAAGATAGCATGGTAAAACGGCAATAGGTCAAGTTACGGTCACAAATGAAAACCCGCAATAGAATGAAGTTGCGATAACCAAACCTCCAAGTAGCATGAGTGACATGTTCTGAATTTGTGTGTGCAATTGTTGATTCAATACTATTTATCCAGTTAAGTTTATGTCTGGATGTTCTTTCTATCCTTTATTGATTAGATGTTAAAGATTTGAAGATGTTGCAATGCCTTGTTTTGTTTTGATACTCGTCAGGTCATTGTAGCACATTTACATTTGTGACTGATTGTGTGTAATCTTAACTTTTTTTGTAAAATAAAAATTTTAAACTCTCCCATAAGTCTGCTGTTGTTAATTCTTGAGCTTTTTTTCCCCGTTGTTGATACAATGTGTTTGTTGAAACATGACGCGAGTTTTATTTTTATTTTGATATCCGCCTTCACTTGGAATCTTTGAAGGTCCAAATCAGCCTCCATGACATTGTCCCCCGCCCTCGCCTCCCCATCCTGTCACCTGTTGTCAATATAGGCTGCCTAATCCACCCTGTTCAGTGTCAGCGGTTCAAAAGATTGCAGTTTGTATTTTTGTCTTCTTCATTAAGCGTCACACTCTTGCCGACTGTGCAATCTCGATTCATGGCTTGTGTCCCTTCAAAGGTACTCAAAGGATCTTGGAATGAGAGAAACTTTGGGATTTATAGGTGAAATGCGGGTATACACAGCAAAGTCATCGTTTGTGATGCACTGGCAGTTTCTAATAGCTGTCAAGACCTGGGCACTTCCTCAACACTGGAAAATAAAAGGGAAGTGGAATTTTGAGCATGACTCTAAACTTGTTTTTGCAGTTATGTGGGTTTTGCCGTTTCACCTTATATCCATGTTATCGCAAAGTGTCTTAATTGTTTCATCTTTTGCAAAACAGATACGTCCAGCTCGCACAAGGGCGAAGCTCTCAATTTACCGGTCGATCTACGTTCCAACCCTCATCTATGGTCGCGAGCTATGGGTCGTGACCGAAAGAACGAGATCCCGGATACAAGCGGCCGAAATGAGTTTTCTCCGCAGGGTGTCCGGGCTCTCCCTTAGAGATAAGGTGAGAAGCTCGGTCATCCGGGAGGGGCTCAGAGTCGAGCCGCTTCTCCTCCACATCGAGAGGAGCCAGATGAGGTGGCTTGGGCATCTGATTCGGATGCCTCCTGAACGCCTCCCCGGTGAGTTGTTCTGGGCATGTCCCACTGGGAGGAGACCCCGAGGATGACCCAGGACACGCTGGAGAGACTATGTCAGCTGGCCTGGGAACACCTCGGGATCTCCGGGAAGAGCTAGAAGGAAGTGGCTGGGGAGAGGGAAGTCTGGGCTTCCCTGCTAAAGCTGCTGCCCCCGCGACCCGACCTCGGATAAGCGGTAGAAGATGGATGGATGGATGGATGGATGGATGGATGGATGGATGGATGCAAAACAATACCAAAACGAGGTACAATAAATTATTGTACTTTAATCACACAAAAACAGCACACAAGTCTTGCTTTCAACGATAGCTTAAAGCTACAACAATTGCATAATAGTATAAGAAGGGCAACGGACACAAATACTTGATAAGCAAAAAAAAAACGAGTGGACCATCTCCAAGACTCGTGTAACATTTACATGCACATATTATAATACAAATCCTCCTGTACTGATTGCATGACTTCAGTAGTATTTAGTAAAAGGAGACCAAGTGGGTGGATGACATCACCCATCAACTCATGTTCCGTGTTCCATTCGGAGGATATAGGCAGCCTAGATGGAGACGTGCTGATCCAACGTGAGCAGGATGATTGTAAACATGACTATGTGTGATAACATAACTTTCTGTCTATACAGTCTCCGTCTCTGGACTCTGCGCAGCCCAAAGATAGTCGGGCGTGTCTGTCCTGACACACAATCCTGCCGGCTCCCCGGGGCTCAGTGTTAATTAAAAATCCTTCCTGGGCTGGCTGCGCCTCGACCCTGAGCCAGAGAACTCTGCGATGATGCCGCAGATTTGGACATGTTGTGCAAAGGGCCAAGCGAAGAGCGGCGGCGTGAGGAGGGGCGCGGGGGTCCTTTGAAAGCAGAGACATGACAGCTGAGGGGGAAGCATGTGTGAGGCATGTTTGTTTTGCATTTAGCCCCTGAGCACAGCTGTGTGCACTGTCCTTTTCCCAGAACACCGGAACACAGCAGAAACCTCCGCCCAAGCCCTCGGCAAGTGAAGGGGGCCCCATGTCCACATATCCAAGCCAATCCTCTCACTTTTGATATATGGACTATACAGTCCAGATTATGTCCTGCATATGCCTTGGATTTGGACCAAGGGGTAAAACTGGATGTAATTTGGGAGTCCAGTGTGACGTGCACTGCTGACAGATTATAGCCTGCCCTACACTTCTTTCACCTGCTGAGAAGACCCACGAATGTGGTTCCTATTTAGGGGATTTTCAACGGTTACTGTGCCCAAAGCCCAACTACACGGGAACGGCTTCATGCTCTGGTACCATGCAAACCTTGCGAACAAAGGAACGTACCTTAACATGGTGTTCGTGATTTAACAGCGCAAACGTCATCTGCTATTTCTGTCCTCAGACATCTGGAGGAAGAATCAAACTTCCCTCAGTGGACTTGAGACATCCATGTTGGAGGGAGGTAAACAAAAAGCATCGAGGAGAGCATGCTCTGAAATGAAAGTTCAGTTCCATAAAGGTATACTTGAAGGTGTTTGCTGCGGAAGAACCTGATTCTTCACGGGAGAGCGACGAAACTCTCTTTGCGTGCTTTGCTGTCCAATGGCGTCCTTCATTTCAAAAACAGAAGAAAGTAACATTGAGGGCCGCGCTTGCATAATAAGTTTCAACTGCCAAAGGTCAGTTTTGTGTGGAAAAGAAAAGAGCATTTTTGCTGCTTTGTAATCTCCAACCGGGTTATTCTTCTAAGCAAAGATGGTTGGTGTTATGTTATTGATATCAGTCTGACACTGCTGATCCGAAAAGAAAAAAAAAGATATCCATCACTGCCACATTGAAAGAGAGCTAGCACTGTTTGGATGGAGGCCCCACCAAAAATCCTCACTGATTGTGTGAAAAAGTTTGAATGCACACCAAAGGGGCTGTTTGCAGCTACTGCTTTCAATTCCATTTAAAATATAGCCTGTATAGATGCTTCATTCTAAAGCGAATCCAGCACCGGAAAAATAACTCCAAAATCTTTAAATAGTAAAGTGAGAATAAAAGAGCACCTGATCTCACTGAAAGCACCGTACAAACAAACCTTCCTGTATTTGAGCAAATAAGTGCGTGAATTAGTTTGAAATCCAAAATCATCCCCAATACTGCACTTCAGCACCACAGAGTCATCTCCCACACTACAAAGAGCTCTCGTTCACTTTGGGGCTTCAAGTCTTTCTGAATCGCTTCATCATTTGCATCTGTCGGCATTGCAGCCTTTTCTGAAAACGGTGCCTGTAGATTTTCATTTGTGCGCCTTCAGCCCACTTCAGGTTGGCTCGGACATCAGAGGGGAGATAAGGATGGTCCCCTTCGGCATCATGAGGCCCAAGATATGGCCGCGCTGTGCTCTTTGGCCTTCATGCGCAGCGAGGCGATGCTGGAGGACTTGCGGTCAGGGTCCATGTTGAGATCATACGCGTTGAGCCCCGTGGCCATGCCGGGAGATCCTCCGAACAGGCTGCCCATGTGAGCCTGGCCCATGTGACCTCCGGGGCTCGGAACACCCAGGAACTCGGACACCCCGCTGGCCGAGTGGGGGTGAGGGGTCATGCAGGGGGTCACCGTGTCACAGGGCACCACGCAGCCCGGCACCGGTGATGCTGCGTTGCTGCCGCTAATCCAGGATGGGTTCTGTATCTGAAACGAAAGAGCGGCAATTTAACAACAAATGCGCAGTAGCGGCTGCAGAAGTCTTGCACGGCGGCCAGAGGTTACATTTACAGCACGAATAATAATATTTGCCTCATGGAATTGTCTTGATTTATTGTCTGCCATTTTGTTGCATTTCCCTTGACTGCACTGCTTCGGTTGTCTATGTGGACGTTAGACTTTTCTTTTTGTCCAATCAGATGTGAACCTCTTTGTGTTGCCAGGGCACTCTAATCTGCCCAGGACCTTCAGAATCGAACACAAAATGTGTATATTGGCAATGAGATTTAAAGTTTCCCTCCTAGCGCCAGCTGGACCAAGATGACATCAGCAGTTTTCCATCCTCTGGTTGGTTGGTCAAGAGCACAACCGTGATAGCTAAATTTGACGGGGAAATCACGTCTTTACTGCGATCTGCACACATGCATGTTAGATATTAATAATTATAATAATAGTAATGTGTAATAATGATGTATTTTATTTCAATGTTCAATGTTTTTGTGATATTAATAGTTCAGTATTGATTCCGAATTTCTCCAGGTGACGTATGTGGCACTTTTGGATGTTATTATGTTCCTGTATCACATTGATGGTTTCTATAATAGCGACGTGATGGAGATGGCATGAAGAGGTGCATAAAGTCAGGTAAACCACACTGAGCGCCCAGGTACCAAATCCATTTGAAGGAACAGCGACAATGCAACAACGTATTTAGTTTAGTGATTCACAGGAAAGTAAAACGTTTAAAGGAAATATTTTAATTTGTGTAAAAAAAAAAAAAATGCAGACAATGCGATTGTAATTTACGAACATCACCATCTTCATTTTTTTGCTTCAGAATGCACTGCAGTCAAGCTTCATAGTAAAAATTTGTACAAGACTGGAAAATAATGTGATCGGCTTTGCTGTGTTTTTCATTTTCTTGACAACAGCAAGTGGCTTTCGTCTTAATTGCATGACAGACCTTTTTCTTTTGGAATGTTACTGGTGTTGTTCAACTAAATGTACTATAAATTGAATTTTTTTTTTGTGAAACAGGGATGACAAATTTGAGGGGTGCATTGTGTTGCGGTTTCGTTTTAGATTTGTGCTGTGCTTTGGGTGGAAGTTTGCTGCATGGCGCATTCTTCTAATTGTATTTTGTGAGTCAATAATAAACATTTTAAGTAAATAGTGAGTCATAGTAAGTAAACAGCACAAGTAAAGAAGCAACAATAAAGGCTATACATGCATAACAGTCCAATTCGCATAAAAACCAGCGTAACAGAACGTGACAAGATTCTTTCTCAGCATGTCGTTCACATCCTCAAACCGTTATCAGGACAAATGATGTTGAAGGTTTCTTTTTTCCCAAAAATCCTTAAACCTAATTTAACCGTAAGAAGACAAGATGAACGTCATAGCGCTCTTATCAGGACAATTACCACCAGTAAAAGGATTTTGGGCTGTATTACACTCCTTTTTTTTTGGTTTGTTTTTGACACTTCCATTATCCTGAACATCATTGTATACACATCAAATGTTGCACTACCTGTGCGTAACTCTCGGGACGTGTCAGAAGTGGCAGCTCGTAAGCTGTGGAGAAGTGTGTTCGAACCTGCTGCATCTGACCAAAACGTTCCCTCTTTCTCCATTTGGCCCGCCGATTCTGGAACCATACCTGAACAGAGGATGCATGTTATTTGAGAGATTCATTCGGAATATTCCTTGTCCAAATCAGACACTAACTTTGTTTGAAGATGCATCATTTTATAAGACATGGAACCATGTTTGGGAACTTTAAAATGGACAAAGGGCGGTATGGTGGGCCGACTGGTTAGCACGTCCGCCTCACAGTGCAGAGGTGCAGGGATCGAATCCAGCTCCGGCCTTCCTGTGTAGACTTTTTGCATGTTCTCGCCGGGGTTGCGTGGGTTTTCTCCGGGTACTCTGGTTTCCTCCCAAATTCCAAAAACATGCATGGCAGGCTGATTGAACACTCTAAATTGTCTCAAGGTGTGAGTGTAATTGCAGATGGTTGTTCGTCTATATGTGCCCTTCGATTGGCTGGCAAGCGGTTCAGGGTGTCCCCCGCCTACTGCCCGAAGACAGCTGGGATAGGCTCCAAGCACGATGAGAACCCTCGTGAGGATAAGCAAGTTACCAAATGGATGCATGGAAAATGGACAAAGATATAAGCTCTCAGAAAAATGTTAGTTAAAAAAAAAACAAATATAGAAGAGCACATGTATGTACATACTTATTATAAATGTAATATAATAATAATATCATACTCATGAGGCAACAGGGCAAGATGGGGGACTACCAGCACATGAGCTTTACATTTAGGAGGTTTAGGGTTCTAATCTCAGCTCAGGCCCTCCTGAGTGGAGGTTGCATATTCTTCCCTGTGTGCCGCCCACACTCCAAAAACATCCATGCTAGGTTCATTGAAGAATCTAAATTGTGAGGGTGTGTGTGACTGGTTGCCCTGCAACGGACAGGTGACCTTTTCAGGGTGTACACTGCCTCTCAGCCAAAGTCAGCTGGGATAAGGCGACCTAAATGAAGCCAAGTGGTACTGACAATGGATGAATGATGCTGGTTTAAAAAAACAAAAACAAAAACAAGGCCTGTATGAAAAAGCTTCATCTCTTCAGGTAAGCGTAAACACAAGATGTTGACATTTGAGAGTACTGCAAAGCTCTTCACGGTTCAAAACAAAATATATCTTTTTAATGAAAGCTTGAATCCAAGCAGTTGTGCCATACAAGCACTTGCCTAATGAAAATATTTCAACGAAATTGAAAAAAAAAAAAAGAAGCTTGCTGATTGCTGGCGAAACAGGTGTGCTGGTTTTCTAAACAACCTTCACTTACACAACAGAATGTAAACAGATCTCTCTCAGTTCACCTTTGCTTATTTGCACTGTGACGAGCGTTGAGTGCCTCATGTTTCCTGTAATCATATTTGACGTTTGGACTCCAAACTGCCGTGTAATGAAAGCATCAGCGTGTTGAGTGACATCACACCGGCTGAAGGCGTGACAGCAATCCCACCGCTGGATTCATTAGCGCACAAAGTGGCTGGCCCCGTGTGAGCTTCTAGTGTTTCACCTATCACAGCTCTCGCCATGTACGCTGCGCTAAGATTAGGAGGCAATAATGGGAAAATTGAAACGTGAGATGAGAGCTTTGTTTGCATTTTCCTTTTTAATTTCCTGTAGCCTAAAGCTTCCTGGCGTTCAGATACCGTCGCCGCATAAATTACAGAAGCACGGCAGATGTCTTCCTCTGTGCTTCCTTACTCAGCCTTCAAAGGTAACGAGACTGCAGCGATACATTTCAACCGTTCCAGGATGAGTTTATACCTTTTTTTCCGAATGCAGGATGATTCATGCCCCCGCGCGGAGCCTCCCAACCTGTCCAATTCTCCCAGTTCAATCTGTTGGTTATTATGAAGAATGTATTTGCATGTTGCACACACTGCGTCGTGACAGTAATTGCTAAAGGCCTTGACAGCTTAAGTAGTTGCTGGACTTTCAATGAGGCTTTATTTATGTTCCAGCCCGAGAGAGCGAGTGAGCAGAGAAATGCCAAACAGGTCCCAGCAGGAGAGCTGTACCGTTCCAGGAACACTTTGAAGTGTGAGAGCAGCTTGGAGGATTGATAACCCGCCTCTGCTGTCACTCATGTCAGCTGAAAAGAAATCTGAAGCTGAGGCTGGCTTCAGTTTTCCAACACCCTTAAAGCACCATTACTATGAGCGAGACACCTTGGACCAGTGTTGTGGTTCATTAGGTGTACGTTTGCACTGTTTTAGTCCCAAATCTTACCGTTTAAACTAAGTCCATCAGGCATGGGTGTATGGAACATTTAGCCCTAACAAAGTTAACACTTTTCACTGACATTGTCGGAGTGGTATTAATCTATGGCTGTTATTGTGCTTGTGGTACACAGTAATGCATCAGACTACGAGAGGTTTGTTTTATTGACTCATCATATATGCATCTAAAAAAAATTATAACACTGCATAAAAGTCCATTTATTTCAGTCTTTTAACGTCACAAAAATGTATATATTACAAAATAAAAATTGACATGAGGACCATGCTACTGAAGTCAAGCTCTTCGAGTGAAGCAGTTTTGATGCTGCAAACAAAACGACAGAAATCATGAATAAGAGGGCTACTCTGCCATTGAGCTAATGTTTCACTTATGGACATAAGTGAAACATTAGCTCTGCTCTTTGATTCATTTTCATGTGGTAAGAGTTCTTGTATCTTCAATTTTCCACGTTTTGATGCTGCAAACAAAACGACAGAAATCATGAGCAAGAGGGCTACTCTGCTCTTTGATTCATTTTTATGTGGTAAGAGTTCTTGTATCTTCAATTTTCCAGACACCAAAAATAATTTCAGTTAAACAAATGGAATATGAACTATGTATAAAAACGATATTTTTTGCTACCATGTAGCTAGAAAAGTCTGGCAGTCACTGCTGATGTTTCTTAAAGGGACCATCTGGCTGGGTGCCTAACATGCATGTCGCTACACTGGTACTAGGGGGTCCTATGGCCCTGTCAGAAATCTGTCGAGCCCCCATTTGCACCCCATAGACTATTCATTCATTCATTCATTCATTCATTCATTCATTCATTCATTCATTCATTCATTCATTCATGTATTGAAGTTTTAAAACATTAAAAATTTCACAAGTGGCTTATCTGTTCCAATACAATTCCTGTTTCCGTGTTTGTGCTGCAGCTGTAACGTGTGTGTATGTCAGGGCAGAGCGGGGCAGGGTGAGTCTTTCACGTTCTTGGGAGTCACGTTTGAGTTTGTAAACATTCGAACATATTTGCAAACACCTTCAAACATATTTTTAAATTTGGAGGGGACACTCCTCAGCCATTGTATATGTATACAATATATATCCTATATATGTATAAGTATTTATATATCCTTGAGGGTGCATGGGAGTCTGCCGCCCAACCAGTCTACATGTGTTTTGTGGACTTGGAGAAAGCGTTCAACTGTGTCCTTCAGGGAGTTCTGTGGGGGGTGCTTTGGGAGTATGCGGTGTCAAACCCCCTGATACAGGCTGTTTGATCCCTGTACTAGCAATGTCTGAATTTGGTTTGCATTGTCGGCAGTAAGTCCAATACATTTTCAGCGAGGGTTAGTCTTCCCGAAGGCTGTCCTTTGTCACACATTCTGTTCATAACTTTTATGGACAGGATGACTTGGAACAGCCAAAGCGCTGAGGAGGTCCTGTTTGGTGACTCCAATGTTGTATCTCTGCTTTTTTGCAGATGATGTGTTACTGTTGGCTTCTTCAAGGCACGATCTCCAACTCTCACTGGGCCAGTTCGCAGCAGAGTGTGAAGAATTTGGGATGAAAATCAGCACTTCCAAAGCTGAGAACATGGCCATCAGTTGGAAAAAGATGGAGTGCCCTCTGCCGGTCGGAGAATGAGAATCTGTCCCATGTGGAGGAGTTCAAGTATCTTGGGGTCTTGTTCATGAGACGGGTTGATGGAGCGGAATATCGACAAGTGGATCAAAAGCAGCATCTGCTGTGGTTCAGACTCTGTTTAAGTTTGTCATGGTAAATAAGGAGCTGAGAGGAAAGTCAAAGCTCTTGATTTACCAATCAATCGACATTCCAACCCTTACCTACGACCGCTAGCTGTGGTTCAAGACTGAAAGAAAGAAATCCCGGATACAAGCGGCCAAAACAAATTTCCCCCTAAGGGTGTCAGGGCTCTCCCTGAGAAATGGGGTGAGAAACTCAGTCATCCGGGAAGGACTCCACATTGAGAGGAACCTGATGAGGTGGCTCAGCCATCAGGTTGGGATACCTTCAGCATGCTTCTCTGGCAAAGTGTTGCACCAGCAGGAGGCCCCTGACCCAGAACATGCCGGAGAGACATTGTCTGTCTCCCGGCTGGTCCGGGAATACCTTGGGATCCCCCGGGAAAAGTTGGAAGAAGTGGCTCGGGAGAGGTAAGTCTGGGCTTCCCTGCTAAAACTGTTGCCCCTGCCACCTGACCCTGGATAAACGGTAGAGAATGGATGGATGGACGCTGCTTTTAGCTGTAAACATGGTGAAGTTGCATTTCGTGGTTATGCTGCACGCAAATTGAATAAGCTGCCAACAGGAATGAAGTCAGTGTCAAGTGGAAATGCATTGAAATCCAACCTCGCTTTTTTAAGATAAGATAAGATAAGAAAACCTTTATTTGTCTCCCAATGGAGAAATGTCCAATTTATAGCAGCAAAATTATGAAAGGGAGAAGTAGAAGAACCAAAAGTACATAATATACATATAAGCATATTAAAAATGGGTGAGTGGGGGTGAGTCCAGGTTTTCAGGTCTGTCTATTTAATAGCCTGACAGCAGTCGGCAGGAACGAGCCCCATACTTTTTGATTAAGGTCTTCTAATCACTTTTAAAATTATTTATTTTAATAAGATAAGATAAGAAAACCTTTATTTGTCTCACATTGGAGAAATTCCCAAGTTTCGAAACCTACCTTTATTTATTTTCTTTTCTTGAAGTATTTGCAAATTTTCTGTTGATGTGTTTAAATGCTGTCAATGTACATTCGTTTGGGAATTTTGGAAAGTTGCTTTTGTTTTCTCTGCGTGGCTTCTGAATGTTGCCAACTGTTGTGTCTGTAAATGCTTTGAGGTGTTGCGTCTTTGCTTGTGTGAAACACATTGAGTTGCCTTGTGTATGGAATGTGCAATACAACTAAGCTGCTTTGCCTTGCAAATGAAGGGAGAACAACCAAATTCCACACAGTATACCGTGTAGAGAATTCAAAACAGAATCTCAGAATTGTGAGGCTTGTTCCAATATATGCGATTTTTTTTTAATGCTCTCTGAGCTCGCTAGACTGACAGGATGGAGAATCTGAGAGACGTGATGTTGTTGGAACACCTAACCTTTGATCCATGGCCCTTCCATGTACCGGCACTGCATATGACTCCAACGTGAACTCACTTTTGCCCTTTGAAAGCCAGAGACAGAAAAAACAAACAACTTCCAAGATCCTACTTCTTTCATTAAAAGTCCTTTATGTTCAGGGTTACAGGTCAGCCTCCTTCGAGATGTGGATTATTTAACCCCTTTTGTCAAAGACGGTTTAACAATTGTTTTTTTTTTAAGGTTTCACTTTCAAACGATTCACATTTGAGACTTTCCATTCATGAGCTGCTGGTCTTTTTGCATGCGAAATGTCCTGAATGGGGCGCAGAGCGGCCGACGGGGCTTCTCGGTCCTTTTATCTTTTTACCGTGAATGTTTAAGAGGGCCGCTGGGAGAGCCGAAGGCTGTAAAAGCTGGAGGCATCTGAAGCGTTCGGCTCTGTGATTGTGTGAGCCTCAACGCGACCTTCGGAGCCTCGTTGCTGAGTTATAACCCTTCGGCTGCACACATTTCCTGTGTTTCACTGTTGCTTCTCGTCTCCTCCAAGATCGGTTGTGATCTTACTCTTATCTCATGCCACGGGCACGCGGCCAATGTGTAGCCAAAATCAAATATGTGGGGTTTTTTTTTTCCATTAGCTGGAGCAAAGAATTGTTTTCGCACAAGTCAGACATAGAGTCAAATATCAATAGCTACCTTGCGCGAGGCTTTTGTTTCACACCTCTACCCAGGAGACCACAGCGGGGACACATTCTTGTCCGAAGAAGATGTTAATGAAAAAAAATAATAATAATAAAGAGAATCCAAAGACTTTGGTTGTCTGCAGCACACACGCGCACACACACAGATGTGCGCTTATACACAACAGAGGAGTCGTGCAATCGAACAAAAATGTGCTGGAATGCATTACGGCATCACCAGCAGACCGTATGCAAAGTGGCCCAAAGGGTGACTGGATGTTTCAGTCTCAGGCTTTTTGTGGGGGGCAAACCTGACGTTCAAGGAAAGGATGTTTATGAACGAGCCGCTGACCACCATCAAAACACAGCACAGTTGAGCTCATCTCCTCATATGCTGCTGATGAATGTGTGTTCTCCAAAAACACAACATGTGAGACCCAGGCAACACAAACCGTCAGTCCCCGGGGCCCCCTGGCCTCCCCCACTCCCACATTACCAGATAAATGTCTCACGTTTTTCTGTGAGTGACGTTGTCTGTGCAGGACTGCAGATGTTGAAGGACCCACGAGCTGATGTTCTTGCAAAGCCGGATCCCATCGAGAATTACCGTATGCTCATTTTTCATGTGTCCATTTTCAGAAATACGAGATCTTTACCACTTTTGGGCCATTTTCCCAACTGTATTTGTCTGTCGACATACTATACATTCCTGGTGAATTTCTGCGGTGTGTCCAAAAATCCTTTTGGAGGAAGCCTAAAGTCAAGAAGAATATTTATTTTGTTTTAGCTTATAAGACAATATTTATTTGGACAATGTTACCACTGGTTCAGGGCATATCATAATATCTATGTAATCAATAAGTGTCTACATGACAAATGAAAGTGTTAATACTTGAACGACAATGTTCTGGTGTGGAAGAGCTTCAAATTTTGATTGCTCAAAAGCACTAGAATGGGAAGAATACAAAACATCCATCATACCGCAACTGTTTAGAATGAGAAGGTGGGCTACACCAAGCGTTACAACGTCAACACTTCAACACTAGCAAAGCAGATCAGGGTCAAACTTCCTAAACATTCATCCAGCCGTTCGCCAGCATATCCTGTTCAGGGTCACAGGAAATCTGAAGCCTCAAATGATGAAAAGCGAACTCGGTGATCGTCAAGCACCCACAGAGTGATTATGATTGGGTCACTAGCGGGGATTGATTCCATCCCGGCTATACAGAAGCCCGTGAGGCCAACCATTAATTCAAACTGAACTCACTGGAGAGTGCCTTATATTTTCACAGACGTCTATTTATCCGGGCCCAAACATTTATTTGGCAGTTGTGTAGCTTACATTTCTGTTTATGCACTACTTTCCTGCACATTGTCTATCAGACTGCCTACGGTCGTTTGCTGTCTTTTCTGACACTGGTCATTCACATTTCTGTCGTTACTGTAAAACGCAGCAACAAGGATTACCTCCAGTATAACAAACAGTGCCAGAGAGTAAATATTTTTACTGTACTTTGTTTGTTTGTTGGATTGTTTTCTCTAAAACACAAACATTGAACAAAAAGAATTACAATGTGACTGCATCTGGAAGTAGGTTCCGGCAAAGCAAACGTTTTTTTTATTCAAATACTTAATCTGTGTCTTTAAAATGAATGGTAGCTTTGTTAATCCATCCATCCATTTTCTGATCCGCTTTATCCTCACGAGGGTTGCGGGCCAATCCCAGCCATCTTCGGGCAGTAGGCGTGGGACACCCTGAACCGGTTGCCGGCCAATCGCAGGGCACACAGAGACGAACAAGCATCCGTGCACACACTCACACCTAAGGACAATTTAGAGTGTTCAATCAGCCTGCCTTGCATGTTTTTTGGAATGTGGGAGGAAACCGGAGTACCCAGAGAAAACCCACGCAAGCCCGGGGTGAACATGCAAACTCCATACAGGGAGGCCGGAGCTGGAATTGAACCCGGTACCTCTGCACTGTGAAGTCGACGCTTGGTTAATAATAATGATAATAATAATAATAAAATTATTAAAAGTGGAGCGTAGACCGACTGTTATTTGGCATTGTTGTCATGAATATGTACACTTGTGCCAACTTATAAGCACAAGTGAAACAAAATACAAATACTTTCAAACATACATGTGTATATATAGGGCGGCACGATAAACAACTGGTTAGCACGTCTGCCTCACAGTGCAGAGGTGCAGGGTTCGATTATGGCTCTGGCCATCCTGTGTGGGTGGAGTTTGCATGTTCTGCCCGTGCCTGCGTGGGTTTCTTCTTGATACTCTGGTTAATGCTCATATTCTAAGAAGATGAATTGCAGGTTAATAAAATGCTCTTAAATTGTCCCTAGGTGTGATTGTGAGCGGTCGTGTATGTGCGCGGCGCGATTGGCTGACAACCAGTTCAGGGTGTACCCTGCCGACGGCCAAAGACGGCTGGGATAGGCGATGGGCGTGAGGATAAGCAGATTAGAAAATGAATGGATGGATTTTATTCAAACATTCTCTGTGACAACGATAAAACAATGATTTATTGTTACCTGTACACGCGCTTCAGTCAAGTCTGTCCGTAGTGCCAACTGCTCACGGGCGTAAACATCTGGATAGTGCGTCTTCTGAAAGACTTTTTCCAGCTCCTCCAGCTGGTAACTGGTGAAGGTGGTGCGATTGCGCCTCTTCTTGCCCTTGTTGCTCTCACTGCTATCACCCTTGTCATGGGGGTTGGCTAAATCAGCACCTGGCGCCCTATCGGATGTCGCGTTGACACCCTGATCCTTCACAGCCAGGTAGCTGGCGTCCATTGTTGGATGATCGGTGAGTGGAGTTAAGTCAGAATCCGTCAGATTTGAGCTGTCTTTACCTAGAAGACAGAAAGGAGATAAAGCACTTTTAAATATTTGTGGATGTACATGAAAAGGACGCAGTGGGGAATTCTGGCATGATGTGAGGCTGCACAGGATGGCATTGTTGAAGACGGTATAGCAACATGTCCCAAACTAAAGAGAAATTGTAATCTCAAGTGTTTTTTTAATATTGTAATGATGTGACATGGCAATCATTGTTGTTTGTATGAGGAATTTGCACCCTCTGGAGAAGAGAGGAGGGTGGGGGACTTGGGGAATGATGACTTACACTTATCGTAAACATTGATAGGAAAAGATCAAAACCATAAGGCTTACAATTTTGGAAAGGAAAAAAGAAAACAAGCTGAAATGAGCATCGGATGCAGGCATAAAGAGCTAATGACATATTATTTATTATTATATATTATTTTATAGGTTGTCAATAATTTTGAAAAGTTTTGTGAGAACCCCTCACCTGGTCCTTTAATGCTTGCTATATTATGTGAACAGTAACTACCATCCGTCCATTTTCTTATCCACTTTGCCTATCCCAGCTGTCTTCGGACACCCTGAATGGGTTGCCAGCCAATCGCAGGCCACACTCAGACGAACAACCATTTGCGCTCACAATCACACCCACAGGGACAAATTAGAGTGTTGCATTAACTGGCCACGCATGTTTTTGGACTGTGGGAGGAAACCAGAGCACCCGGAGAAAACCGACGCGGGCACGGGAAGAACATGCAAACTCAGGACAAATAAGGAAAGCAGGAGCCGGAATCGAACCCTGCACCTCTGCACTGTGAGGCGCCCAGTTTAATGAGATCCACTCCAAGAGCTATACTGAAAATTGAAAAATATCATCTTCCATTTCAATACAATGCTGTGTATGTATTATTATTTAGTGAATATAAGTTACCTTTTTGTGGACAAATGTCGTGGGTTGAGAGCAATTATTCTATTGAAAGTTAATGTCTCACTATGATGCAATAGTATTGTTCACTAAAACGAAACAATCAAAATGGAACATTATTTTCTGTTGCCACAGCAGATTGGGCATGTGTTTTATTTGACTGTCTGAGCTTGTTGCGTTACCTACCAACACAAATGTACATTTAAACCCAAATGTAATTGAGCGGTAGTCGAATGGTTAGCACGTCGACTTCACAGAGCAGAGGTACCGGGTTCAATTCCAGCTCCGGCCTCCCTGTGTGGAGTTTGCATGTTCTCCCCGGGCCCGCGTGGATTTTCTCCGGGTACTCCGGTTTCCTCCCACATTCCAAAAACATGCATGACAGGCTGATTGAACACTCTAAATTGTCCCTAGGTGTGAATGTGAGCGCGGATGGTTCTTCGTCTCTGTGTGCCCTGCGATTGGCTGGCAACCGGTTCAGGGTGTCCCCCGCCTACTGCCCGAAGACGGCTGGGATAGGCTCCAGCACAACCCACGACCCTTGTGAGGATAAAGCGGATCGGAAAATGAATGAATGAATGAATGAATGTAATTGAGTGAGCGTGCTGAAACTTTAACTTTACCACCACTGGCACCTCTGAACATTTCCATTGTGCCTCAGAAGTATTTTAATATGACAGTCACTTGGCAGCTTTGCATGGCCCATAATTCAATTGCAGCATTATGACAAGGTGGAGCAAATGCATTGTTTTGGCCCCCAGTTGCGAAATTTGTTGGCTTATGGTGTTAATGTGAGTGCTGATCAATTTTACCGCCTGCATGTTTGATATGTGAAGAGTAGGATCCACTCTTCTCCGTAGATCATCATTGATCCACTGGGCTATGGACACCCTGTGGCTGTAGTTCAACGTGACATAGAGGGGCTGTTTTAATTGCAAACAAAATTTCAAGATTCAGAGATGGAGGTCGTCTGCCATGCGGCGTCACCTGGACTGTCACGCTTTATTTGCAGAGATGTCATTGTTGGCTCCAAGCAATGAAACAGACTCACTAAATGGCATCGCAGCATATGAATTTTCAAACCTCAGACAGATCTGTGCTAATAAATCTTCGCGGTAATCTGTCTGCCAGTGTCCATCAAAGTGATCTAGTGTATTACTCATTTTTTGGATGTGATCACGAAAGTAGTGTATGGGAGAGCTGAAAGTGGTTTTGGGGCGTCCTGGTGTGACCCATCACCAACATCGATGCAAAAGCCTCTGAGGTGATCCATTCCTCTCGATTCAGACATTTGCATGCCAGGTCACTAAAATGTGAGATGAAGCGTCTTGACTACATGAAACACAGATTTCTGCAAAACATGATGCCTTTTTCATAAACAAGTGAGTTTAGATGTGATTAATCGCCTGGTCGGTTGAACAACTAACCTAACTTGGATGTTTTTTTAGAACGAGAGAGAGAAAGAATCCACACAAACACGGGGAGAACATGAAAATGCCGTGTAAGAAGACATGAGCTGACATTCTAAACCAGAACCTCAGAACTACGAGGCTATTTAATTACTATTCCACCATGTCACAAATGATTTCATCAAATAACATATATGAAAAATGTACTTTTTTTGACCAACATTAACCCTTTGAGGGTCAGCGGTTACTACAGTGGACAGCTTATCATGTTATCAGGTTACAGGGTGCATGAAAGGGTTAATGCTGCCCACTGTCTTCGATCATCCACACGTTGTTGTGATTTCTATAAAAACAATTATTTTTTTTCTTTTTAAATACATTGACACAAAGTTGTTTTTGGACGGGTGTCCGTCGGAAGAGAGCAAATGCGTTTGTGCATTCTTATGCCGCTTGTGAGAGCTCAACCACCAAAGGACTAAATTATGCTTATTTCGAAGCCTGTAGCTCATGCATGTTTGGAATTATTTAAAGCAATACAAAAAGTCTTCCGATCCCAAAATCAATCAAGTAATCGAGTTTGCTCGAGAATCCAAAAACAGACTTTTCAAGTTTTTGACTGATTAAAAAAACACAAAAGCCTAACTGTTTCCACGGGTCTGGAATTATGGTGACACAACTCCCTGTGGGGGTCCAGCAGGCCACAGCATTGCTACATGGCAATGACTCATCCATCGTGTTGGGCTTGAAAGACCTCCATTTTAAAATTCCAGCGTAAACACTCCTTGTCGAGACCGTCATATTTCTTCGACTGATACCCACAGTCCCCACAAGGTAAGAGCTGTCAGGTTCATGAGTAATGACCACTAACTGATAAAAGACTACCGTTCAGGTTGCACTTTGGCAGTGAAGGGGGTAATGTGCTTTCCTGTGAGGTTCTCCTTCCACAACGGGAAAATAAGAAATGCCTTGCTGAGTCTCGCGGCGCAAGGAAACTTTTACCATGTGTGTGAGTACAGCCAATCATCTCCTTTCACTAAATTATGAGGAGACGATCAGTTCATCCTCACCCCCCACCTGGGCGTCTGTGTGTAGCAACACATGACGAGTCCAACTAGTACGGCCATAAAATAATGATTTGACTTACAGCTGCGCAAGCGAGAGCACATGTTCCAGTAGCTCGGAGCAGAGTATGTGAATATTTGCGCCGCACATCATAATTTGTTTTCTATTGCCTTTTTTTTTAAACACCATTTACAATGTACTATTGCAACATTTCCAAGATAGTTGACGTGCGTTATCTTGTTAAGGGGAACTTCTGGTTTTTCGATGGAAACATAAATTGCATCCAAATGTGTTTTGCTGTTAAGGCAAGCTCAGCATAGCTTGTGGTAACTTTCTGGCTGCTAACGCACACAAGACATACCTGCTCCGTTTTGGCCTGCGGGAAGCGGAGCTGTGACGTAGCGTCGTTGAAAGGTGAATCTGTATCAATATTGGCTGCTGCGGGCGTTATCTACGATCATAGGATTCTGGTCTGAGAAAAAGCTATCATTGCGGAATGACCACATAAAGGTGGCTGCATAACTTGGGTGCAGGAAACTTTCCCGTTTGGCAAGGAATTCGGTCGCTTGCGAGGACCATTTCGCTGAGTTGTGCTACAAAGAGAATCGACAAGGAAAGCTATCTGGATCCTTGACTATGAAGAATCTAATATTTGATGCAGTAAAAGGGTACACAAATAATGAACTATTATTCTCATTCAATGTCGCACTTCTACCACATAAAGGTGGCTGCATAACTTGGGTGCAGGAAACTTTCCCGTTTGGCAAGGAATTCGGTCGCTTGCGAGGACCATTTCGCTGAGTTGTGCTACAAAGAGAATCGACAAGGAAAGCTATCTGGATCCTTGACTATGAAGAATCTAATATTTGATGCAGTAAAAGGGTACACAAATAATGAACTATTATTCTCATTCAATGTCGCACTGTGTGGGTGTGTGTCGGTTGAGTTTGGTGATTCAGTAGGACAGCTCTACAGACCGATACAGTAGTACCAGTCAAAACATGCAACCATTCTTTCTGTTTGTATATCAAATGACATTTTAAAAATTCAAGTTAAAGTCCAATAGAATATAATCTTATCGGTTACGTGAATAATACGAGGCATTTTGATTTTTGATGTGGCGATGTAAACATCAGTGACGCCTAGGATGATTTATTTGAATGAATGGATTATTTTGTCCATGAAGTTGACAAAAAAAAAAAAATGCATGGTCTGTGCAATGTCTAACTTCATTCCTCATTACAAAACCTACAGACAAAAAAAAGTGTTGTTGCGAACATTTTAGTACGGCTAAGTCATGTAACTGGGGGTGGGATGGATTGTGAAAACTGTCTCAACCGTTTGTTCCAAATATGACGTTTCCGTTTGCATCGTCGTACAAAGACCCCCCTCCCCACTCCCAAAACCCTCTAGTTAATAACAAAGTGCAGAAATGTGCACTTCAAAAGTCACTTCTATGCACCAAAACATAACACAGTAGACACCAGTGTTAGTGGCATGTTGCTAGCAAGCAGTCGTTTGTGAAGAGGCAGGACGTGTTGTATTCGCATGGCAGATCCCAACTGACAAATGGATAGCGTGATGCAAATGGCCCCCGGCCCGTACTTTGGACACCACTGGTCTACAAGCATTA